CAGCAGACTGTCGAGCCCGCGCGCCAGCCAGCCATCGAGCCCGGCATCAAGCGTCCCGAGCAGCCCGAGCGCAGGTCTGTACACGACGGCGCCGCCGCTCTTCCCGCCCACATTCTTGCCAAGCTCGCCGCTGCCGCAATCGGCGTCCGCGACCCCCAGCACCACCACCACCACCACCACCACTACCACCACTTCTACCAATCAAGGATTGACAGCCGCTGCTGCAGCACTCGCACCTCTGGCGTCACCACAGCGCGCGCTGCCCCAGCCAGTGGAGATTGAGCGACAGCGTCTCTATTCGTCTGCCCTCACATTCCTGCTGGAGGCGGACGCAGAGTTTGCCAAATGCCGCAGCGACATTCTAGACAACGTCGACAACCTGGGTCTCCTCCAGCTCGACATTGTGTACTGCTACTTGATGCTCCGCGACGTGACCTCGTTGCCGGACGCCACGCGCCGACTTGCCACCTGCGAAGCAACGCTCAAGCGCAGCTACGGTGCCAACTTGGAGCGTCTGCGGCGAACCCGCGAGGGTGCCGTGCCCCCAGAAATGGTCTTTCTCGTTCGTCTCAAGCTGCTCAAGGCTGCCGTGCTCTTCCACGAGACGGCTGCGCGCCGCCCAGCAGCATCAGGCTCAAACCCGACAGCAGTCGCTTCGGCCGTCGTGTCGGCGCGTGCCGAGTGCTCTCGTCTGCTCGAGGAGGTGACTCGTGAGATTACCAGCATGAAGCCCGACCCGGCAGCGGTGGAGCAGCTCATGACGATGGGATTGACGTCGACGCAGGCTCGCGTCGCGCTTCGCGAGCCGAACGACGTCTCCCGCGCCCTCGAGCTCCACTTTGCCCACCGGCAGCAGGAGCAAACGCACCGCGAGCAACACGAGCAAAGCCGCTTCAACCGCGAGTTGCAGCGTCGGCTGGGACGCACCACTCGGGGCGAGTGGGTTGACGTCAATCTTTTCCAGTACCTGCACTCGACCGGCTTCCCCAAGCACGCCGCCGGCGCTGCGCTGCGACAGGCCAACAACAACCTGGAGATTGCCATGCAGCTCCTGACCACATGCCCGCAGCTGTTCGCCAAGCCCACGCATCATCGCCGACGGACGAGCGCTGCCGGCTCCTCCGGCTCGGCTCCGCCTTCGCCTGCTGCCAGGATGGGTACGGGCAACCTCGGCGACCTTACCGCATTGCTGTCTTCGATGGGCATTTACATGCCAGCGGAGCGCATCCAGCAGACGTTGGCAGAGTGCGACGGCGATCTCAACCGCGCCTTCGAGCGACTTCAAAAGGAGCAGTTTGGGGTTGAGGATGCTCCTGCCACCCCTGGTTCCGGAGCCAGTGCCACGCCCGTTGACAGCGACGACGACGACGACGACGATGGGTTTATGGACGATACCGAGCACACCCGCCAAGTGATTGCGAACGAAATCTTGCCCACCATTTCCAAAGATTCTCTCGCCTATCTTGACATGAATCTCGACGAAGAGGAGTCTGTCGCACACTTTTATCAGTCCTTGCTGGCCAAGTTGCAATGAGCGCAGGGGAGGAGGTGCTTTTTCTGTTGCTTTCAGTAGCGTTTAAGAGTTTGGTTGACACCTTCTGACATTGATGTATTTGTAACCTGTACTGTGCTGTATTTTTTGTGACGTGCATGCAATTAAAAAAAAAAACCGCACCAAAATCTGCACCAAATCTGAGTTATTCAATTTTGTTATTGTTCTTATAAACACTAAAATGGACTTTGGACAGCAAAGCTCTCGAACATCAGTCAAACGCAAATTTCCACTTGTCGGAGCGCACAAACCCACGTTGCACGCGCCCAACGCAGCGAATAGAGCACAGTTCATAGTCCAGCGGGACGCGCATACCGCCAATGTTGACAAACGACACAAACCGAGCAGGAGACTCAAAGTAGTGGCGCGCACAAATGAAGCAGCGACGAGGATTTTTGAGGTATGCCAAAACCCCCGGCGTCAACGAGGCTAAATCCTCCTGCCGATCACATTCAAAGATCTTTTGCGCACAGAGGGCAAACAAGGAGGGGATCTCGTACGTTTGCGTGAGCGACTCGACGCCGCTGTACAGAGGGTTGTTGGCAAGGCGGAGAGCCTTGAGCGATCGTTTGGCCATGATGCGGATGGTGGGAGGCAAGGTCACGAGCTGGTTGTCATTCAGCAAAAGAATGTTCAACCGCGTCATGCGTCCAATTTCAGGGGACAGCTTGGTCAGCTTGTTGAAGGAGACGTCCAAGCTGCGCAGGCCTGCCAGCTTGCTCAAACCGGGCAGCTGTGTCAGGAAATTGTGAGCCAGGCTGAGGGTGTGCAGCTCCTGACCAAGCTCTCCAAGAGCCGGAGGAATGGCGGTGATTGCATTGTTATCCATATTCAATTCGACCAAGCTGGCAAGGCGACAGACTTCGACAGGAATCGTGGCGAAGCGGTTGCCTGCCAACGAGAGGCGCTTGACATTGGCCAACGCGCTAAAGCTGGTTGGCAACGAGCTCAAACAGTTGTCGTGCAGACTCAACGTCTTGAGTCTCGTCAGATTGCCAATGTCGGCAGGCAGGCCTGTCAGTTGGTTATTGTTCAGGTTCAGCTTGACCATGCGCGTGAGACGACCGAGCGAATGAGGGGGAATGGACGTAAGGAGGTTGTGGTCGAGGGACAGCACCTCCAGCTCGGCCAGTTCTCCAAATTCAGGCGGAATGGTTGTGATTTGGTTGGAGTGGAGAAGGAGTGTCTTCAGCCCCTTGAGCTGGCAAAGCCCGAACGGAATACTCTCGAGCCAGTTGTTGTGCAACCACAATTTGGCGAGATCTGGCAAGGAGTGCACATAGTCGACACGCGACAGCTGGTTGTGGTCGAGAAGGAGCATTTCGAGGCTTTTGAATTGCGCAATTTCTCGGGGCAGGGTTTTGAGGTGGTTGTTGGAGAGTGGAAGCACCGTCAGCTTCTCGGGCAGCCCGGTGAGCGAGATGAGCGAAGAGAGGGCATCGCTCGACAAGCCCAACGCTCGCACCAATTCTGCCAGTTCCGCAAGCTGGGAAATGTGCGTAGGATTGGATGATGTGAGGTCGCTCGAGGCAGAAATGGTCGCCTGAAGGTCGGTCGGGAGGCTTTGTAGCAGGCTTTGGGTGGCGGGTGAAAGGTTTGCAGAAGCTGTCGCGCTGTTCTCAAGCGTGCCGCCGTCGGGTGCGAGGTGCGAAAATCGCCCTTCCAGTTGGAGCGCCGTCAATCGGGTTGACAGAGCGTCCACTTGCACCTGGGCAGCGTGACACTGGGGGCGAAGCAAGCTATAGTGGAACGAGTGGGGTCGAGCGCGTGCAGCAAGCGGTCGACCAGCAGCTGGCACCCCTGGACGTGTGGGTTCCGATGTTGTCGGCAGCACAGCTTGGGGAGGAGGAGGAGGAGGCGGCGGAGGAGCGCTGCTGCTGGTATTGGTGCCCGTTTCATCCAGGCCCACGGCTGACGCGACCTCCTGAACGGCGGGGACACCGTGCGAGACCTCGCCGGAAGCTGCGCTCCCACTGTCGACCGGACCGACCGATGAGCGAGCATCGCTGGAAGAGCGCTTGCGAGGCAACAGGGCGTGAGCGGCCGCGGCAGCGGACACGTTGGTGGGCAGCGGTGGGACTTGGCCCGAGATGGGTGTCTGAAGCCAAGGCTCGGCCACTGCGGGACTTGCGTGGCGAGTCGGAATGTGCGACGCAGGGGCGCTGTGCGACACCAGAGACGCTGCGGCTGTGGTGATTGACACTTCGGGTGCCGCAGAGGAGGAGAAGGTCGCACCACTGAGCTTGGGGCTCAGGGACCCTGACGATGCATCTCCAACCGAGTGCCGCCAAGAGTGCTTGAATGAGTGGTCGGCCGGCAGCCAGGACGACGGCGAAGCGCCAGACCGCGGAGAACGCACTGCGCGGATGGGCCCGGTCGGTAGGGTGTACGGCCTGCCACGGCTGTCGAGGACGCCAGCATCGCCACCATGCTGCAGAATGAACTGTACGAGCATGTCTCGGCCGCCCATGGCTGCATAATGGAGAAGCGACATCCCGTCCAAGTCGAGGCCATTCATGTCTCCCGAGTGCCAGATGTCTCGCAGATGGTGCAGGGCGGCCAAAACGGAGCGCTCCATCAGTTCGCGATGGATGGCGGAGCGCACTGCGAGCTGTTCGGCCTGGGATTCCAACTTGCCACGCAAATCAAGCGACATGAGATGGAGCAGCCGATTGGACGCATGGCTGGTGGTCGTGTACCCTTGCATGATGGACGAGAGGTTGGATGAGGACTGCTCCAGCTGGTGCGTCGAGCGCAGCATGCGTTCCATCACGTCAAGTGTGCGGAAGCGTTTCGCGCGGTCGCGGTACTCGGGGTCGTCATTATCGTCGTCCCCACGACCACGGCGCGTTTGAGGGCGGTCCAAGCCCGTCTCCTGGAACGTGTCATACGTGAAGATTTCCGTGTTTGTCGAGCCCGACTGCAAGTCCGACGAGAAAACCGACACGGGCACACAGCCCCGCTTGTAATCGTTACGATTGACCAATCCCGAGACGGCGGCTTCATACGATGGAACATGACTGCGGAGCAAATATATAACAAACAGATGTGCAAAATGAGACGCTGGGGATGATGGGATTTTTTTGCCATCCATGCAAACACAAACACAAACAAATGCCCACTTGCCTAAGCTTGAGAACGCGCCGTTGCCCTGGAATAACTTCTTCGCATTGCAAGAACAGCCAACCAAAGTTGATAAAGACATCGAGAGGAAAGTCCAGCGACCCGACCAGGATAATCTCGGTTCCCTCGCGGCCCGATTTGGGGCTAAGATAGATGGTGATGGCGCTCACGCTTTGGCGGTGTTCCGTCACAGACAGCGAGCGAACGAGAGCATCGAGATCCACGGTCGGCACATCGTCGCCAGTCATGGAAGAGGACACTCCGCCACTAATGCTTGATGATGACATTGACGACATTGAATAGGCTGAGGGCGAGGCGGCAGCAGACTTGTCGGAGAGTAGAGAGGCTGTGCTGCTCAGCGGCGTACCGACTTGGAGGGGCAAGTCGCGCTCAGTCGGCATCTCACCAAGCGGCAGCGCCGAGAAAGCAGAGAGTCCGAGAGGTGTGTCCAATGGCTGTGGTTGAAGCAGATGCTGTTGCTGTTGTTGTTGCTGTTGTTGCTGTGGTGCCAGGTGGGGCGTTTCGGGAAATGGTATGTGCAGATCTGACGGCGTGTCGAGAGGAATGCCAAGTGGAAGTGCAGGGTCGAGCAGCTCTCCGAGGGTAGAAAAGAAACCGTCATCGTTGTCGGACGTTCGTCCCATTTGGATGGAGGCGGAGGTGGGCAAAGCTAATACAGTGTCCTCTGTCACCATCGGCGAGGGTGTAAAGCCGAATGACTGCTGTTGGAAAGTACTCAGGAAGCCAGACACCGTTCCTGGAGTGGCCAGCGAGGGCGTTAGTCCTTGCAGAGGATCGTCCAATAATCCAGCCGACGCAGGGGCCAGCAAGTCGCCAACGTCGGCATCCGTCACGGGTTGGGGAGTTGCAAAAGACAAGAATTGTGGTGAGGTTGAAGGAAGGTGCTGGGACTGCTGCTGTTGTTGTTGGGGCGGGCGGCCGCCTGACAAATCCAGCATAAATTGGTGTCGGCCGGTGGAGTGCGATGGCAATTCTTTGGCTGTTGTAGCAGGCAGATCGAATCCATCAGTGCCCAACAGCGACGCATCAGCATCGCCCGCGTCCGCACCAGCCTTTTGGGTGCGGGAATTGACGTAAAATCCCTTCGAAACGTAGAGAAAGAGCAGCTCGGCGTTGTCGGTGGAAGACAGCGAGATGAACGGCCCGCTGCCCGCGTCAGAAGAGGAGCTGCTGCTATCTACAACAAGATTTGCAGTGGCGTCGCATTCAAACAAGGCGACCTCGACATGAAACTCGGTCTTGTTGTGACCCTTGCCGGAAACTTCGCTCGTGAGAAAGTGGCCAACCATAGCCCCGCCGTTAAACACATCCGGACGATGCTCGCGTGCATCCCAGCCAGCAACAAACCGAGCCGGATCTGCGAGCAGTGCAAACGGCGATTTGCCTTTGATGAGCCTCAAGCCCAGTTTGAGGGTGCGGCCTGGCGCGAGCGGCACATCGCGCGCCGTCAGCGCTTCCGTCACGATACTTTTACTGTCCTTGGGCATGGCAGCACTACTATTCTTGTTGAATGAGGATGCGCTACTGCTACTGCTGCTGCTACTGCTTGACGAGACTGAGCTTGTAGCGCTCGAGACGAGCTGTACCGACACAACTGGAAAGTCCTTGATTTCGCGCTTTCGTCCATGAAAGTGTTTTCCATACTGAACACACACAACACCCCCAATTCAGAATGGTCATTGAGCGACAGCGAGCGAAATGAGTAGAATTGAAGGGGTCGAGGTGGATGATGACTTTGACCGGACTGCCGACTCGCCCATCGCAAAACTCATCTCCACACAAACCATTGAGCAGCACTCACCTGGAGCTGGATGGGCGCGTCTGTGTGGATGGCGAGCGCGGCAGTGGCGAGTGGTGCCCCAGCACGCCTCGCGTCGCGGCTGTACAAGCACGTCCACGCCGGGTACTCCATTGGGGAGACGTCACAAAAGCCTAGTAGGGCAAAGTGCTGCCATGCATTGAGCCACACGCAGCGACAAAGAGTCCATATCCATATCCATATCCATAGCGTCAGCACAAAGAATCGAACGCTTACCAAATTCGGCGTCCGCGCTTCAACTGCGATCAAATGCGAAAGTGAATTGTCGACTGAGCCGAGCTGAGCAGAAATTGCATGATGGTGATGATGATGATGATGATATTCGTTCGATATTGAAAAGGACATTGGGAGGAAGGGGGGAAGGGAGGGGGATTCAAAGCTGAAAACATCTTGAAAAACGAACGGATTGTGTTCCTCCTCTCGTCCATCTCCAGCATTACTGGATTTTCCAAACAGAACAGTACAGTAATACAGACTGATCATCACAAACGGGCTCACTTTTTGAAGCTAAACCGTGTTCATCAGCGACAGTAATTCCAAAGAAGGAAGCGTCGGTTTTCGCTCAGTCTTGAATGGTAAAATAATCAATTGTTGCTTTTTTTTGTTTCGTTCTAATGCGGTTTAACTCGTTACTAACTGTTTCTATTTTGCGTTTTCTTCCCTATCAGACTGTTGCCTGTTTTTCAGCTACCTTTTGGTGGTTATTTTTTTTTTTATTTTCCTGTTTTTTTTTTTCAATGTGCTTTTCAATGCTTTTTCCATTGCGTTTTCCTCTATTTTTTTCCCTTTTGCTGCCGTTTTTTGATTCTGTTTGACTTCCAATTCGTCGCTCTTTCAAACAGTGTTGCCTTCTCCTTTTTGCCCTCACTTTCATTCTTCGGCGACTGAAACACTTCAACAACAACAGAGACCTTCGTTTGCGCACAAAAGCAGCACTGCGGATCTGACTTTCCAGCATTGAACGAACGAACGAAAGAGACAAAAGAGAAGAAAACTGAAAAAAGCCATGTGCTTTTTTTTTTTTTTTTTTTTGATTTTTTTCGCTTCTAGTTTTTTTGCTGCAGTCCGTTTGTTTTTGCAGACAAGTCTTTGCTGTGTGTTTTTCGTTTGCTTGGAAGCGATGACAGTCGAGAGTTGAAAAAAGCAAAGCATTCACTGCGAGAGTTTGGTGTTTTGGCGGGAGGGATTTTGCTTCGGCACGTTGGGAGTTTTGGAAGGACCCGATGAGCATTGATCGCATGGAAAATGATAAAGACTCTGAAAAGAAAAAAAAAACCGCCAAAAAAGCGCGCGCTTTTTGAAACGCTCTACTTTCCATTGGCCTCGAAGTAGCTCTGTGCCTCTCAGGATGCCGCCGTTATGGTCGATGTGCTGGAAGGCCGGGTGCGAACCGAGGATATCAAGGAGCCATGCTGGACCTGAATGCCTTTTCTCTGGAAAAAGCGATGATCAGCAGCGTGGTCTTTTGTTTCAGGCGCGTATTTTTTGAAGAGCTGGTGACAGTGTCTCCTTCATGAACAGAACAATCGCGCCACCATACGCGACGAACGACTTAATCGCAAGCTTTCCCCATTCTATGGAAACGACTTGTTTCATGCGTCGACGACATACCCTTTCCCCAAAAACAAAAAATATTCTTTCAGTTTTTGCTCTTTTTCTGGACTTTCTTCTCGGCTGGTTTTGTTGCTCTGGTTGACTTGTATTGGTAAACAGAGCGACATCAAACATCCTTGGGCGGAGAAGGTCTGTTCACCAAGCGGACGATCGGGTAGCACGGATGCAGCTGAAAATCGAGCACTGCTTGTTGCGCGCTCTTGTTGTACGTCGGCGCACGCACCAGGCCGAGAACCACGAGGTTCATCTTGATGACCTTGAGCAACGCGTTAAGCTCCTGCGATTGGTTTTCGCCAAGTGAGTCCAAGGACGCAAAACAACACAAAACCATGGCGTCTGTCAAAGCTACTTGCCTCCATCCACATGTCTGGCAGGCATGTAATGTGCTTCCAGGTGCCATGCAGCGAACCGGGCCTCTGATTGGCAGGGAGTGCCGTTTGCGCCGGTGTGAGTGCGGTGGGCGGTGGCAACAGGCGCTCCAGCATTGGGCGCGCAAAGGTGAGCAACTCGACAGCCGTCTTGAGCATTTGATCAAACTGTTGTTGGTCAGAGACACACACAAACACAAAATAAAGTTAAAAAACGAACTGCACGTGTCCCTCCCTTCCAATCCAAAACAAAACGCCCCATGATCAGAAATGAAAGGCGAACGGACATTGGCGTCTTGCGATTGACTCGCTCGGTACGCCTCATACGTCACCGGGGCGGGAGAAGCCAGGCTAAAGAAGGGCATCACACGTCGCAAGTAGCGCACTTCTTCCACGTCAAAAATGCCGTGTGGAGGCGCGAGCATGCCGGCGTGCACGAGGCCAGAGTGAGCCACCTGAAGCGCTTTGAGAACAAGTTGTGGGACCTTGCGGAGGAGCTGAACGATTTCCAGCCATTCTGCAAGCACATTCTTTGCTTTTGCTTTGGCCGATTTTCGTCGTGCGGCGGTTTTCACTGGCAAAGACCGAAAAAAAGAGGATTAGTGTGGAGGTGAAGCTTGCAAAAGTCACACGACAAAAGAACAAACAACAGGGGGGCCCCCTTACTGTTGAGCTCAAGCTGACGGAAATGGAACTGAATCACATGGTCAAACATCTGAACATCGCAGCTGAAGAGGTAGTCGGCGTAGCGCAGCATCGTGCCTTGCTCACGAGGTGCAAACAGATTTAGCCGGAAACCATGCAGCACGAATCGCTCGCACATCATCAGCTTGAGGTTGAGAACCCATGTGCCTATTTGGTCCACCTTGGGTGCACTGACGTCGATTTCTGCAAGTTGTTCAGGGGTGGCCTGAAGCGAGAAGAGAAGAGAAGAGAAGGGAGGAAGAGGCGAGAGAGAGGAAAATGAGTACAAATCAAAAACAAAAGCAAAAGCTGATAGAACGACGGCGCTTGCTGTACATATTGAGACTGCCAGAGGTGGTAGATTTCAAAGTCGCACTGCTCGACGTCCGCATGAAGTTCTTCAAGTGTGGAGAGCATTCTAGCAATCCGCCTTCGCTCGCGCCCTCGATTCAGCGAAACTGCCCGCAAAATGTGCAAGACGACCTGGAGCACGACAAGCAGGCGAGAGCAAACAGAACAAAAAGGCAATTACCATGAGCCAACAACCGTCACGAGTGAAGAGGAGAATGGGGGTGCTTGCGGGCTCACCTTCTCACAACACGCCAGAGCGGTCTTCAATTGCGCCTTGACAACATCATTGGCGGAAAAGTCGCTGGGTGAGGCGGCCGGGACGAGCGAGAGCGGGTTGCAAAACGTGGTCACTGACGCTGCAATCCACTCGGAAAGCGGGTGAAGCCCGAAAACGACATTTCGCATTTGAATCAGTGTCGCATGGAGGCGGGAGCGGGACAGGACGTTTGGATCCCGAGAATTGAAGAGCATGACGAAATCCTGGACCAAGCAACGGGTGAGATGGCGAATCAGAGCGAGCAATGTCGGTGTTGTTGAGCGCAATGATAACAAAAGATTACAACAAACACAAACCGCCCCCTCGACGACTCACCAACGCATGATCAAGCGTCGTGCACTCTGTCACGCGACTTGAAAACAGCAACTCGTCCAAAATGGTGCCAAAGAGCGCACACGCGGCGGGACGGGTGGGAATGCGACTTGCGGCCAGTGGCTGCGACGCCAACCAGAAGGGAACAATGAATGGGTTGGAAGGAAGGGTGCTGCCTGGGCGCGGCGGCGTGGCTGTTGCATCGGCGTTGGGGAAGGAGTGGATGGACTGGCCGGCGTGCTGCTCGCAAGGGCCAATGCCTTCGCCGAGCGCAAGGGTGTCGCGAATCACTGCGAGATGCTGTGCCGCTTCCTTGACCAGCTGCCTGGCACTGTCAAGTTGCTCGCACTTGATGGCGTCGAATGCCACGAGCGCCTTGAAGAAGCTGCGACGGAAGCCGACGCGCGCCCGAAGCGCAGCGACCTCCTTGGCGGCGGTGCTGTCGGCCGGCAGTCCGTTCAGTTCTGCCAGCAAATGCCGCTCCACATCTTGCAGCATGTGCGCCATCTTGCCGTTTGAGATCTCGTTGCAGGTGGTAAAGCCGTGGGTTTGCAGCGGAATGTCTTCCTCATGGTACACGTCTGCGCGCATGACAATCATTCGGATGTGCTCGCACGTCCTCAAGATGGCCGTGAGCACTGGCATCAGAATGGGATCTGCCGTGATTGCGCTGGGCGTCTTGTGCAAGTACATGCATGTGAAGAGCGACTGCGGCAGCTGCGTCCCGCCCAGCCACGCAGCCTCGCACGCCAGCAGCGCGTCCATCAGTCCAATCCGCTCGGCATGTGTAAATCCGCTCGTCTTGAGCAAGTTTCGATCGAGCGCGTCGTCCAACGTGGCCGCCTGACCCCTTGCCAATGGCACGCACCCTAACAGTCACCAACAGTCCAAGTGAGTGCACTGCAGCCCCAAATCACCCACTGAAGGGAGACTGACCGGCGTCCATCTTGGCGTCCATGAGCTGGAGTGCAGCGACCAAGCGGTGCAGCGTAATCCCAGGCAGCAGCGCGACCTCGCCGGGCGCCAGATCGCCAGCCAAGCGGCGCAGGTGGTGGGACTGGTCGGTCCAGCTCACGACACTGCGCGCAGTCCGAGGACCCTGCTGCTGCTGCTGCTGCTGCTGGTGCAACAATGACGATGAGGGTGCAGCAATAGCAGCAGCAGCGAGGTCTGATGGTTCAGCGGTGGCAGCGGTGGCAGCGGTGGGTGGCAGTCCATCGCTGGAGGACATTGCAGAAATGGAAAAGCAAAGAAAGAACTGATCTGCTCAGAAACAGCAAACAAAAGGCAAAGTACCGATTCGCTCAGATTCACACTTTACTTTGGGAAGCCGAGCTTCAGTCATTTTTGTGGTGAAGTGAAACAGTATTCGGCTCAGACAAGAACTCCTGACAGTTCAGGTTCAATGGAAGCGGACGAAGACGACGACGACGACGAGGCGATTCAGCCGCGGGAGGACTTGGACTGGTTGGACGACACGAGCTGGAGCGATCTGGACGCAGACGCAGAGGCAGAGGCAGAGGAGCAAGCAGAGGAGCTAGCAGAGGAGGAGCAAGCAGGACGACTCGCTCAGGCGCTGCTGAAGCCGGCCGCTGAGACGGCGTTTGCGCTGCTCGGGTCAACACTCGGAGCCGCAGATGCACCGGTTCAAACAGCTGGAGTGGCCAGCAGACCGTTGCGAAGGTGGCCGCAGCGATCACACGCGGATGCGACAAGCACACCGGTCGTGCGAGCGAATGCAGGCAACGGCGCTGATGATGACGGCCTGAGCAAGACCGACGCACCCTCTGGCGCAAGCATGGAAACCGAGCAACCAGGTCTGAGCGATGGCAGCCGATACTCTTCTGCTTTGAAATCACCGCCGCCGGAGGTCGCAAACCGCTCCTCGGTGGTGGTGGGGCTGGCATTGGCGGAAAAGAACAGCGGTCTGATTTCGCGCCTTTCCCTCAACCAGGACAAGGCCGGCCTTGAGAGCGTCGACAAGCAACGAGCGAATGCAATCATCTACGAGGCGTCCAGAAACTCGCGCTTTTTCAAGAACGAAGTGCGCAAAGACGCGTCCGTCACGCAGCGGCTGGAGTCGTTGCGCTCGCAGCTCGCCGCGATTCGCCGCGAAATGGCGCTTGTGGTCGCTGCCTACCCCGATGATCCGCTTGCGGAAATTCTGTCGGCAGCATTGTCATCTGCTTCCACGTCGGCTACACTGGGCGTCGGGTCTTCTTCTTCTTCTTCTTCTTCTTCTTCTTCATCTTCTACCGCCGTCTCTGCTTCTGCTTTTTCATCCACCGCACTTTCTTCGTCGTCCGCTCGCTCACTCGAGTCTGCTCCTGACAGTTGGTCATCACGCTCTGCGCCACAAACGGCCGCACCCGCCACCGCCATCCTGCGACAAAAGTTTCGGCATATCTACGCAACGGTCGACAGGCAAGTCAACCTGATGGAGGCGGCCCGCAACCTGGACCGCGTGATTGTCCACTTGGACATGGACATGTTCTTTGCAGCCGTTGAGCAGCGAGACGACCCGTCGCTGGCCGACAAGCCCATGGCAGTTGGCTCGCAGTCCATGCTCAGCACCGCGAACTATGTCGCGCGAAAGTTTGGCGTCCGAAGCGCCATGCCCGGCTACATTGGCCTGAAACTCTGCCCCGAGCTGGTGATTGTGCGCCCAAACTTTGAAAAGTACGCCCAAGTCAGTACGCAGGTACGCGAGATTCTGGCGCAGTACGATCCGCACTTTACCGCTGCCAGTCTCGACGAGGCGTATCTGGACTTGACGCGACATATGCGCCAAGTGGTTCCCGACGGCGTATCCTCGGCAGACGTGGTGCGAGAGATTCGGGGCAAAATCCAGGCTGCCACGCAGCTGACCGCCTCCGCGGGGATTGCGCCGAACGGCATGCTCGCCAAAATCTGCTCCGATCTGAACAAGCCGAATGGGCAGTACCACTTGCCTGGCGATCTGGAACAGCTGAAATCCTTTGTCGCCAAGCTGCCCGTCCGCAAAGTGTCTGGCATTGGCAAGGTGACAGAGCGCATGCTCAATGGGCTGGGCATTGTGACTTGCGAGGACATGTTTGCGCACCGGTACGACCTGTTTCAGCTCTTCTCCCCCATTTCGTTTGATTTCTTCCTGCGCGTGTCACTCGGTGCTGGGTCTAGTCGGTACGAAGAGGCTGTCAAAGCCGATGCAGTCGCCACCCCGACGGCAGCGTTTGGCTTTGGCTTTGCCGTTCCAGACAATGATCGCAAGAGCATTTCGGTCGAGCGCACCTTTCGCGAGATCAACACGCCCACCGCCCTGTTGGCCAAGTGCGAAGAGCTGTGCCATAAGCTGGCGGCTGATGTGAACTCGTGCAAGCTTCGCGGCCGAACCGTCACCGTCAAGCTAAAAATGGTGGATTTTCGCATGTTTACCCGCGCAGCCTCCTCACAGCGGTACATTTCCTCTGCCTCAGAGATGTTTGAATTGGCCTCAAAGATTCTGCAGGACGAAATCCAGCAGAGCGAGCGCGCAGGCGGGCCGCTGCGACTCCGCTTGATGGGGGTGCGGTTGTCTGCGCTCGTTACCGAGCCTCCTCCTCCTTCTTCTTCTTCCTCTATCAGCAACACGATTGGTTCCACCCCGGGCGCTGGCGAGGGCGAGCTACTGGACAGCACGCCAAGCACTGCCCACGCCAAGGCCAGCGGCATTGAGCGGTTTTTCGCTTTGAGCTCGAGGCATCTGACTTCCGAGATTGAAGCGCGCAATGCCAGTAAAGATCGTAAGGCAGCAGCGCGGCAAAGGCAAAGGGTGTGTTCCAACGATGCCATTGAAATTTCGGACGATAGTGATGCCGAGGACGGCGATAACGACGAGGATGACTGGGCTGCGGTTGCGGCCGACTCGGCGTCTCTGGACAACGCATCACACCCAAACGGCCAGCAAGTCGGGACAGCCGCCTCCTCAAGAGGGGCACTTCCAAGTCTTGGAAGCGCACCTGTGAGCAACGGTCGCATCCACACGGCAACAACAATGTACCAAGCGATGAAGCATCGCTTAACAGAGCAGACTGCAGCGGCTTTCAAGCGCCCTCGGCTGGATCCGAGTGCCGCCGATTCTTCATCCACTGCAGCTAATACTCCTAGCCAACCATCACACGTTTGTCCGATCTGTCAAAGGCCACAAGTCTGCCAGAACCTGGTTGAGTTTACTGATCATGTCGATGAGTGCCTCACGAAGCAGACCATCAAGCGAATTTTACAGCATGATGATCAACAGCAGCAGCAGCAGCAGCAGCAGCAGCAGCAGCTTGGAAGAACTGGCGTCACATCTGGGACAACAAAGAGGTGAAGGGTTGGTTTGTGGTTGTTTTTTGCTCGTTTTTTGGTTTTTGTTTCCTTATCAACCCTTTACTTTTGGTTTTGGTTCATTTCACTGGCAGACAAGCACCACAATCGAGTACATCTACTACATTGGAGCGAATGATTCAGCGGCAAAACAAGATAAGCTGAGCAATCTTGTCGATGCTTGACCTACGCGACGACAGTTTCAGCGTTCTCCAAGCGTCGGAATGTCATGTTTTCGGATCAGAACGCACTAGTTGGCGGCATGTGCACTGCGGCAGCAGAAGGCCGTTTTCATGTCCGCGATAATCGCCTTTCTATCTTGGAACGGCCATCGTGAGGAGGACTTGGCTGTGAGGTCGAAGCAGAACTGGAACACGTGTGGCAGTTGTTGAGGTTTGAGGTTTGCCCCAACCACGCGCGTGTCTGCTGACTGCCGCTTTCAAACCAATGCATGGGCATTGAAGAAACATGGCCATGCGTTGTAGTGATGCCTGCGTTGAGCACACACACATGTAGACCTACTTTTTGTACAACTGCAATTGAGGACCAATAGAAAACAAAGACGCTTCTGGTTGATAATTACCAGTCCACTCGTTGTTTTTTGTTTTGTTATCGTTGCTTCTTTTGTTGGTTTTGTTGTTTTCTTCAGCCTCGCGGTTTCGTTTTTTTTTTTTGTAAGCGAGATCTGCTTTGTCCATGTTTTGTTCAATGCTCTCTCTCTCTCTCTCTCTCTCTCTCCCTGAAAAACTCTTCGACGGGAATCGCTGAACATGTGGCTGATCACGGCATGCATTTGGCACTGACTCGTGCGATCGTGTCGGCTGCGGTTTGTTTGAGTTTCTTCATTATGTTCCTTTTTTGTTGGGTTTTCGATTTGATCCGAGGTTGTTTGTGGAAAGGGGGCTCCTCATCAACTTGTGCACAGGCACTCCGCCAGCCACTTGTTTTCACTTGGTCATTTTATGACCTTTTTGCTTGGTTGAGGGCAGGGTCGGCGAGACAGTGAACGGCAGGGTGGTACAAAAGGGGAATAATTGCCATGGGGTTGTGTTAATAAACAAACTGATAACAAACTTCTCGCGGTCTTCCGGATTTGTTGCCGCTACTGTTTCTTCCACAACCATTGGACAGTTATGACTTGAGAGTGTGGACATGGTGCTGCGATTCGTTGCGACTTTATCCCTTTTGTTTTGTGTGAACCGATCTCTTCCCAACACAAACTGTTCAACTCACCATGAAGATCTACATTGTCCCATCGTCGCATCGCACTGTTTGTTTTTCTCTTTTGTGCTCGCAGGCGCTCGATTTCTACCTCAGCTTCTCAAAGACCAAAACGACCGAGCGCAACAAGATGGCGACGTTGCGACTGGCAATTCTGCTGGTTGTGCTCTGTGCCGTTCACTCGGCCCGCGCACAATCCGCTTCATGCTCTGGCGCACCAGCGTTCACCGGGTCTAGTGGTGCGGCACGCTCATATAGCGGATCCATTGGCCAGTACAACGCGCCGTGGGAGAACACCGCCATCACTGGCAGTGGTGGAGGCAAGTGTTTGACCTGGCAGTACACACCAGCAACCGCGGGAACCATCTACACGACCACATGCTCCTTGACTACTGACGACACAATCATTTTTCTTTCGAGTGGCTCTTGCGTCAATAATTTTGGCACTAATCTCAACCAGCTGGCCGACGACAGCTGCGTCCGCCAATCAACCATCTCATTCCCTGCCACTTCCGGCACACTCTACTACTTGCACTTGTGCCGGTACGCGGGCGATCGAACCAATGCAAACTCCGACAGACTGACCACTGGTCAGTTTGTGTTTAATTTCCAGTGCCCTGCTGGCATGACGGATCACGATTCGTTGGTTGAGACAGCCTGTGTTGCCTGCAGCGCGGGCACGGACACTTCAACCGGAGCCAAGGCTGGACCCTGCACCAACTTTAACGTTCCCGCGGGCTCGTTTGATCACGATTCCAACTCTGCCACCGCGGCGATCACTTGTCCTCCTGGAAACTATGCGCCCGCAGCCGGCACGACGTGCACCACTTGCGGCACTGAAACATGGGACCATGATTCGTCGTCTGCAACTGCCTGCACTTCTTGCACGTCCGCATGCTCTGCTGGCTCCTTTCAATCGCAGGATTGTACTCCCACGAGCAACCGCATTTGCACTTCGTGTACTGCCGTCACCTCGTGCGCCGCCTCGAGCACAACATGCACATCGAGCACGGACTCGCGCTGCTCGACTTGCGCCGCGAACTTTTACAAAGTGGCGGGTGCCTCGAGCGACACGTGCCAGGGCTGCACTGCGGCCTGCACCACAGGAACTTTTGAAACAACCCCTTGCACGACGGCAAGCAACCGAGTGTGCACGGCATGCCCAGCGATCGCCAACTGTGGAGGCACGCTTTCGTGTTCATCCAGCAGTACCTCTCGATGCACTGCGTGTGCCAGCAACTTTTACTTGATTGCTGGAACCGGATCCACACCCGATCGCTGTGCTCCTTGCTCGGGCAGCTGTGCTGTCGGTCAGTTCCAAAGCGCAGCGTGCGGCGCCGCAGCTGATCGCGTCTGCACCACATGCACGTCCGTTGCAAACTGTGTTGGACAAGTGACGTGCACGACAAGCGGCAACTCACAGTGCTCGGCGTGCGCATCCGGCTATTATCGGACGACTGTTGGCGGTGCTGATGTCTGCTCGCCATGCGCCAGCACATGTGCACTGGGCCAGTTTGAATCGGTTGCTTGCACCACGTCGACCAACCGAGTTTGCACTTCGTGCACATCGGTCTCAAACTGCGCATCTCAGCAGACCTGCTATGGTGCTGGCAACACCCGCTGCTACACTTGTGCGACGGATTTCTACTTGACTCTGCGCTCAGGAGTGTCTGATGTTTGCACTGCGTGCGCGTCTTGCGGTGTGGGCAACTTTTCGCTGTCCCCGTGCAGTCCATCCGTCGATCGTGTTTGCGGAGTCTGCACTGCCATTGGCAATTGCAATGTGCCAGTTTCCTGCACCTCGCCAATCAACGGCCGCTGCTCTGCCTGTGCTTCGGAGCATTACCTGGTGCCCGGCTCTTCTGACGTTGCTCTGCCATCTCAAGACGCGTGTGCGGCGTGCGACACCTGCGAGGTTGGCACGTTTGAGTCGCAAGCGTGCACGCATGCCACCAACCGAAACTGCACGCAATGCACGCCGCTTGAAAACTGCGCTCAAGTATCGTGCACCGACACCACCGACTCTGTGTGCGTGCAGTGCCCTGTCGGCACGTTCTACAATACGACGAGCGCGACGTGTCACTCGTGTCTTGAGTGCGCCTCCAACGAGTTTGAGGTGGTTGCTTGCACCTATCTGACCGACCGCACGTGCAGCGCTTGCACTAACGTGACGAACTGCGCTTCTGTGACTTGCACTTCTCTGGATGACTCGATTTGCGAGACTTGCAAGTCCACCACGTACATTTCGCCAAACGCAACTGCGGGTGACGCCGAGCAATGCTTGGCCTGCGCGGCTGTACCCGACTGTGCTTATGCGAACGTGGTGTGCACGAACGCGACGAACGCTCGTTGCAGCGTTGCAGCAGCGAGCTCGATCGACAAGGCTGTCATTATTCCTGTGGTGGTTGTTGCTGGTGTGCTCCTGATTGTCCTCATCCTCGTGCTTGTGCTGGTTGCGCGTCGCCGCCGCCGCAATGCCCGCAAGCCTGAAGCTGCTCTATCATCTCGACGTGCACGCTCTGAAACTGTGGACCTTCCCATGTCCACGATAGCCATGCTGGCCAATCCTCTTTCCGATCATGGGAACGAAGCGGCCATGTATGCAGAGGCGAACAATCCTCCACTGCACACCAACGCAGCGAGTCCCAGCGGAAATCCGTTTGCGTCGGCCAAAATGGCCGAATTTCTGGCTCAGACCCATCGGCTTGGCAGCGATCAGCAGTCTGGGGAAGGGTTGTACGACTCCATCCGTCCTCCGCCAGTGCCGGAACACCCTTTCTACAGCAACTCGAACAGCAATGCAGCGAGGCACTCGATCGCGTACGAAGCTCCGAGCTCAAGCTCCAGCTCCCCGGTTGCAGAGCTGCCCGCTTACGAGAATCCGCACGTCCAGACTTCCACCTCGGACGTTGTGTACACAAACGTTGAAGTCAACAACGATGCCTAGAGCGCGTCATCCCATCATCCGACAAATGCGCGAGGGTTGGCATGTTCAAGTTCGACCCAACGAGTCTCGCCGAGATGTGGCGTTTGAATCGCTCTATGTTGGATACACTTCAAAAAATAAAATTTCAACCAAAGCAAAAGTTCATTGGCGAAACTAACCTTGGCGGCCGGAGCAAATCTCACAATCTAGGCACAAACAAAACAATGCTCTGAGAAGTAGAAGGCGAAGGCAACAAGCCAAAGGAACACTTGGGAAGCGCGAAAATCGAGACTAAACGAGGACAAACAAAAACCAGAGTTGCACTTTTAAGCGTAGGTGCCCTCAATGTCATGGTACACAGAACGAGCAGCGGAGATGGAGATCAGCTGTTGGAGGGAGAAAGAGCGAGAAAATGGAAAGTCGATCAGCATGAATGAGCCACGAAACCGTACAAGCACACACACACACACAAAAAAAAATGCCTGAAACAACGAAGCAACAATCGGATTGGTTACCTGAAGAACAGCAATAATGACAGCAGTGATGCCAATAGCGAGGAGGTTGGTTTCCATAAAGCTCGAGAACTCGGAAGCGCAGCCGCGATCGTAAAGATTGGAAGTGGTCGAGCCGCAAGTTGGGGAGCTCTCATTGTGCTCGCAGCAAGACTGGGGAGGAGTCTGGGGGTTCCAGTCACTGTAGCTGGTGATACCACAGCAAGTAAACTAAGGAATTGTTCAAGAAGAAAAGAGTCAGTTAGGAGGCACCGGTGAGTGCAATGTCCAGATGTCGAATTGGGAGGGGGGGGGGGAACAAAAAGTGGGCTTACATCGTTCTGGAGCACGTCCATGCGGTTGATGGCGTTGGCGTCGCCCGCTTTGGCCTTGGTGATTTGGTCGGTGATTTGGTCCGTGACAATGCCGTTCATCTGTTCGAACAAGTTGAGTTTGATGAGCGAATGCGTTTCGGGTGTGTTTTCGTTGAGGTTTGTCAAACAAATCCTTCAAACCTTGGTGCGGTAGACAAAGCCGAGCACAGCGATGGCAATTTCAAGCAGGAGGGTGATGGTCATGATGACAGTGTACTACAGACCAAGCAAATGCGAACGCACCAAATTTAGTCAACACGAAAAGGCGGTTTAGATCTGAGCAGGTGTCACCCATTGCATTGGATCAAACACACTGACACACCTCCTCCTTCTCCTCCTTCCCCTCCTTCCATTCCAAAATCGAAAAGCTCGAGCAAAATCTTGGCAAAAGCACATCACACGGGGTCACCGAATGATGGCCGCTCCATTGAAAGAACTGTGGCGAGCCTTTCGTCATCGTTGACATCCCGCCCCCCTCCTTCCCCTCCTCCACGAATGTCACCTCCTAGCAACAAATCGCTCTTGCTCATTTGCCGCTTCCCCAATGCTTGTCAAGTCAGTCACAGCAGAAGACGCGACAAAGCAGAAGCAGCAGTTCTGCTGATCAAAGAGAAAGAACACAGACAAAAAAAAAAAAAAAAAAACAATCGCGGTTCGTTCAAATAGATCAAAAGTGACCGCCCCTTTTTTGTTGTTGTTGTTGCTTTGCTGTTCAACACAAACAAAAGGACGTGTTCCCCACCAAAGTCGAGGAGACAGATCAAAAAGTCGAAGCAGCAGAAACCGCATCACGAAAGAGAAAAAGCAAAAAGTCTCAAAACACAATAAAAAGAAAAAACCCAAAACAATACCCAAAACAATACACTTTGCGTAGATCATCATCGATTTTTACGCGGTCTCTCCTCGACAGCCGTCCTCTGCTCGGAAGCATGTCGCTTTGCTCGCCCTTCCATTTCTTCTTCCTTCTTCAAGCTCCCCTGCGGCCCCCCTTTTCGCTCGCTCGCTCGCTCCCCCCACAGTGTTGCCTTGCCCCCTTCGCAACGAAGCCCGCCTTGATTTGGGTTTTGCTTCTTTTTTTTTTTTTTTTTTTTGAATCTTCACTTCGACTCTCACCCCTCACTGTCCCTCTCTCTCTCTCTCTCTCTCGCGCTCTCTGACTTACAATCTTGAGCATCCAGGTCTTCTCGGCCATGGCGCCGCAGCAGCCGAGGAAGCTGGTGAGGAAGACGACCGCGCCGCATGCAATCAGCACGTAGCAGGCGTTGTTGAGGTTGTCCTCGGTGAGCAGGCTCAGCGACTGGTCGTAGCCAACGCGCCCGTAGATGCCCAACCCGAGCATGCCGCCGCCAAGCAGCTACAGTGTTGCAGCAGTAGAAGGGTCAAACAAAGTGTTGTCGTGTTTGACAGCAAAGCAAAAGCACACACACACAAAAAAAAGTCAGTTCTTGGTTTTTCACACATGGTTTTATTGCTCATGCGCTCAGCCACGCGCTCAGCAGAGAGCCAGTCATGACTGCTCAGTCATGCTCAACTCGCACGCTTGAAAAGAACACAAAGACAATGAACGAACGTACCACAAAAAACAAGTTGTAGACAATGAGGAAGGCTTTCGAGCACTTGGCGTTTTTGACCATCTTGACGAAAATAATGAAGACTGAGATGATGGCAACGACGACGAATTGAGAAGTGGAATGGCAAAAAGAACCAGTGTGTGTATTTGAAATAAAATTACAGCTGTACAACATGTCTGGAAGTGAGGGAGGTGAGGTGGTTTATTGTGAAGAAGGAGTCGCAAAACACGCAAGAAAAACCATCCATTTCCGACCGCAGACATTCGCAAGCGCACAAGGGCTATCAAACATGCAACGACAGGTGCATCGAGCAAGACAGGTGCATCGATATCGAGCAAGGCAGGTGCATCGAGCAAGACGAGAAGACAAAAAAAAAACTACAGACAAAAGACACGGATCAAACGAATTCTGCATGTAGTGATGATTCGTCGCTGCCATAATATACTCTCCTCACTTGTCACACTTGGAGATCACTCTGTTATTTTTTTTTTTTTTACATCGTCCAATTCTCAGAAATGAAGCGCATGTTTGGCATGGGCAAGCCAACGCAGCCCCCGCCAACGCTCACCGACGCCATCTCCAACGCAAGTCATCACGAAACCCCCTCCCCCTTTTTGTTTCTTGTCAATTCTGTTTGCCCCCCCCCTCCTCCTCCTCTTCGAAGTGTGTGATGGAACGAGTGAGACCAGCGGCCGCATCAACCTGAGCAGTTCCGTTGCTGCTCTTGCTGCCTTTACGTCGAGCACTTCCGACGCCACTCGTTTTGTTTTGTTTTGTTGTTTTTTGTTCTTGCCAAGCTGGTCATCAGCCCAGCATTACACACCGCGTCTCTCGCTCGTGTGGGGCGGCGCTGCTTGAGAACGGCGAACCGACCGATGTTTGCGTCACCATCCGCCTTTCCCAATGACAGACCATTGGACTCGACTCGACACTCACCGACACTCACTTCTGAAATCTGTGTGCCATGTTCATGTTCATGTTCATGTTGTGAATTCTGCTGTTGACAGACGGACGCGCGTGGCGAGTCCATTGAGAAGAAGATTGAAAAGCTCGACGTCGAGCTCAAAAAGTACAAGGACCAGCTCGCCAAGACCCGAGACGGACATGGCAAGGTGAGAGAACAGGATGCACTCCAAGTGTGGATTGTCCGAGTTTGTTGCGCCGTTGGGTTTTGCGCAGCCGGACTCGTTGAGGCGGTCCATCTTTTCTGAGCGCTTCATTTTTTTGCTGTGCTTCTGAGATTTAGGCTGCGAAACTCATCATGATGCTTGTAATTTGGGGGGGGGCTGTTTTGAAACTTGCAGCAACTGCTCAAGCAACGGGCCATGCGTGTCTTGAAGCAAAAACGCATGTACGAGGCGCAGCGCGACCAATTGATGCAGCAGTCGTTCAATATGGAACAGGCCAATTTCGCCACTCAGACAATGAAAGACACCATCACCACGGTATGGAAGTTTTGCTGCTGACTTGTCTTGTTTCATTGTGTTTGAAAAGCAGGTCGTCAAGGCACCAACTCATCTGTTGTTTGTTGCTTTTTTTTTTCTGTTGTTTGAACTCAGGTCAACGCCATGAAGGTTGGCGTCAAGGAAATGAAAACCCAGTACAAAAAGATCAACATTGACAAGATTGAGGTTGGTGGATGGTTGAAATTGCTTGGCACAGTGTGGCAAATCTCCTCGGACTAGAAGAAACCTCACAAACCCGTTCACTCGCTGACGACCACCACAGGACATCCAAGACGAGATGGAGGACTTGCTCGATCAGGCAAACGAAGTTCAGGAATCACTGTCCCGATCGTATGGGCTCGGAGAAGACGTGGACGAAGCAGATCTTGAAGCTGGTGAGAAACATTGTCAAACCATCGCATTGCTCGTCGTCCTCCTGCACACTTCTCACCTGTAATTGGCTCTTGCATTGATGCACTCGTGGCTTCACAGAGCTGGACATGCTTGGAGACGAGTTTGCTTCCGAGAGCGATACAAGCTATCTGGACGATGCGACGCGAGCTCCTGCAGCCCCAACCGGCGAGCTGTCCTCCCCTGCGAGCGGTCAAAAAGCCGTGGCAGTGGACGAATTCGGCCTGCCAGAGGTCCCTGCCTCGTTCTGAGCTGTTTGCATAGTCAAAGTTGCTGTTGATTGAAAGTTTTTGTGTTTCAGTCTGTGTTTTTTAAATGTGAGGAATGAGTGCGTGTTGCGCTGAGCCGTTTAGACTGATTCATATTCGTTTCGAATTTCTCCCTATTTATGTGCTCTTCATTCGTGTTGCATCTCCACCGCTTTACTGCGACGTCCACTGACAACACTCATCTTAATTGTTGTTAGCTCGACAATCTCATTGTCCGCAGAGTCTTTGAGCGATGTTTGGTTTTCGACAGCTTTTATGGATTTGTTGTTTGAACATCAACAGCAGCAACAGCAACATCATGATCTACATCATTATCAACAAGAAACAAAAAACAAAACGGCTCACGGAACAAAAGTCTGGTTGAATTTGCCAGTTTCATAGGTGGTCGGAAGGACTCGGCAAATCATGCACTTATCTTGACGCTGTATCATTTCTTGGGCACATGCAACGCAGACACATGCGTGGCAGCACGGCATTAATTTGGCATTCGTTGGGGCGCTCCAACAGACCATGCACTCGCGATCACTAGGAACTCAGAGCTCAATATACTTCCCCTTGCTTTTTTTACCTTGAACTCCATGTTCAAAATTAACTAAATAGTTTAACAATACACGACAACAAACTCAAAAAACGAAAAAAAAAAGTCAACAACATCAGCGATAACAACCTTTTGTTTTTTTACCGCAAGATACATTGAGTATTGGACACGGTTTGGCGGAGGAACTCAATATACGATTGAGCGGATAGATCGGCGCGGCCCGAGGCACTGGACGCGGTCATGCGGAAGCTCCGCAAGCCAGTCGCAGAGTTCAACGTGGTCAAGGACGCTTCTGGGGGCAGGGACAGGAATTCTCGGACATTGGCGTCCATGTTTCGAAGATCCTGCAGAGTGGCCTGGCTGGTGCGGTGCGCGCCATCCAGAATGTCTGCTTGGACTTGGATGGCCTGTTCGATGGCCGACACGAGCAGGTTGGTTTCCGTGAGACGCTCACGAATCACGCCAACCTCAGCGCGGAATGCGGCCACAAACAATGCCACAGCGTCGGCTTCGACGTCGGGCAGCACAGCAAACTGCCGCTCGCTCTCGTCAGCGAACGCGGCCAGCTCGTCTTCCACGCCACGCGCGACCATGGCAACGGCACTTGGGAGGCTGTCCACGGTCGCGGAAATTGCAGTGAGCTCCTTGAACGTTTGTGCGCGAATGGACGAGAAGGTGCGGCTCAGCTCGACGTTGACAGATTGCAGCATGGATGCCAATGCACCGGCGCGCGATGTGATGGCCGTTTGAAGCTCGTGCAATGCATCACTGGACTCGACGGCAACCACTTTGGCGGTTTGGCCAAGTTCCTCGCGCACAGATGCGAAAGCGCTCATGTCAAACTGAACTTGACGGCGATCAACCTGAACGGGGTTGGCGTTGAGCATGGCACCGAATTGGACAAGCATGGCGCGATGGCGCTCGTAAAAGTTGTCGAGAATCTCGCGCGACAGGGTCAGCGTGGTTGCGGCGGTTGCCATCAGCTTGTTGCCGTGTTCGTTGAATGTTTGACGCTCGAGTGGAGACAGGGCAGACTCGGTACCAGCCTGCACGGCGGCAGTGAAGGTGGAAATGCGCGAGCCTGCGAGGAGGTCGGAGACGCGGCTCAGAGCCTTGTGCGCAGCCTTGTCAATCAACTCGAGCATGCTTTGCAGCACCATGAGGCGCGCGTTCTGGCTCTGGACGGTTGCCAAGTTGGTCTGGGCGGTGGCAAACGCGGCAGCCGATGCGGCGCGAAGCTCTTGAATCATGGCAGCTGACGAATCGACGAGTTCGGTTCGGTGCTGCTCGAGATCGGTCGAAATTCGCTCAACCAGCTCAGTCACATGCGGGGCCTTTGCCGGGTCGAGGTCGCGCAACGATGCCATGAGGTGGTCTTCCGCCAACCCGGCTTGCTCAGCAAACTGGCGGACAGCCTGGTCAATACCACCGAGCGCGATGACAATGATGGCATGGGACTGCTCCAGCTCCTTGTTGGCCAGATCGGCCTCCAAGAGCGTGGCACGAGCCGACAGTTCGGCCAAAGTGTCGCGATTAGTGGACAGCAGCACCTTGTCCTGGTTGGTGAGCGAGCCGAGTTTGGAGACTCGGGCGGCGAGCGCATCAAGGCGGCGAAGAGCATCGGTGCCCGCGCGCTCAACAAGAGCCATCAAGTCGGCCGAGCTTTGAGCCTCCAGGGCAGCAGCAACAGACTCCCAGACCAAAGTCAGCTTGTTGAGGGGCTTTGCCACCGAATCTTCCATTTCCGCGCGATCATACTTGAGGCCTTCAGCTGCGGCATCCAGCTCTTCGCGACCATCGACTGCAAACTGGAGATGTGTGGACAGCCAGTTGGAAGAGCTGGCAAAGGCCGTCATGGTGCTTTCGAGGGATGTCTCCAAAGTGACAAGCTGATCGCGGTTGGCCGTGTTGCGGGCAAGCAGGTTGGCAAGTGTGGACGTGGCGTCATGAAGACGGTCGACAACGGGGGATTCAAGCATGTTTCCAACTTGGCTGGCATCCTCGAGCAGACCGGCAAGCTGGGCAGTCAGCTCGGTGGCTTGCTGGGCGGTCTGGTCGTCAAAGGCCTCAAGCAGGTCATTCAATTGCTGGGAGCGGGCCTTATCGTCTGAGGCCAGAGGCTGAACGGTGGGCAGGAATGCAATGATGGTGGCTGCTTTTCCTGCAACAGCGTCAGCATCGCGACGAGCGAGGCCAAGCGAGTCCTTGATGGCGGTAATCTCTGCGGCAATCGCGGCTGTCGATGCGGCCACCGACTGCGACAGAGACATGGTGTGTTGGTAATCTGCAATAAGACCGTAGATGATGGCAGCGGCGTCGCGGGTGCAGTTGTCACACGGATCGCAGCGGAAGAGGTTGCCGCCGAGGGCGATTTGCTCGTAGCCAAGCAGACACTCGCGGCAGGTCGGGCCAGTGTAGCCGTTGGCAGAGTCGCAGTCGCAAGTGTAGTTGCCAACAAAGCCAGGAGCAACCGTGGTGCAGGTATCGTTGTGGACGTCACCCTCGGTGCCAGGGACGACACGTGCAATCGAGTGGCCATTGCAGTCGCACTGGAAGCACTTGAGCGACTCGCCAGAGGCATCGAGAATAAAGCCCGTGCCGATGGTGCCGGGAGTGTCAAGACGGGTCGGGTCGCCATAGTAGCCAACCTCGCAGACCTCGCAGTTGGGACCGGTCGAATGACCGAGGCAGGCCTCGCAGATCAGGTTGCTGGGGTTGCCCGCAGAGTAGTCGCAGTTGTCCATCATGCTCGACTCGTCAATGTTGCCGTTGCAAATGCACTCGTTGCAAGTGTCGAACGACAAGCAGTCGCCAAGACCGCTGCCGCCAACACCAGGGGTGAGGCATTGCGTGGGCTGGCCAAAGTACGCGTCCTGGTTGCACGAGTCGCACGTGCGGCCCTCGTACACGACACCCGACGAAATAATGTTGAAGAAGCCGCCGGGAATGGAGCGAGGGCAGCTGCACAGAATGGCGCTCTGGGGATCAGCAGCAGCGTCGTCAGGGTTGACGCTGTGGTCGAAAATGCACGTCTGCGCTCCGCCACTGACGCCGCCAAGGCTGTTGTCAAAGAGACACTGCTGGAAGGTGCCAATCTCGGTTTCGGTCAGCAGGTCAAACTTGCTCGGCGCAGAGTGGTAGCACTTGCAAGGGGTGCAGGGAATACCGCCAGCAGGGTTGCCAAAGTAGCCGTTCTGGCACGAGGCGCAGCGGTGGCTCTCGGCGTGCGACAGAGCGCACTCTTGGCAGATACCAGTGTCGGCACCGCACATGGTGTTGGCACCAAAGCATTGCTCAGAGCACGGGCGACAGGCGTCGGTGAGCGCGTCCGAAGTGCAGTCGCCGTCGACCAAGGAGCAGGCGTTGCAGGTGTCGCTGGCAGGATCAAACCCGGCGCTGGTGAGCTGGCGGAAGAAGCCGGGAACGCAAGTGTCGCACTCGTTGGCAGCGCCGTTGGCCGTGTTGCCGCCGCAGTTCAGGCAGATGCCGAGCTCGGGCGTGCAGATACCCGGCGCAATGGTGGGATTGTTGAGCGAATGTCCGTTGCAGTTGCAAGGGGTGCAGTCTTGCTCGCGCATGGTGGTAATCACTGCCGGGTCGGGCGTCGGCAAGTCCCAGCCAACAAATGCGGCAGGATTGACGCGGCTGTTGCTAGCAACGCATTGCTCGCAATTGTTGCCCTCGGTGTTGCCTTGGCAGCCAGAGCACACGCCAAAGTTGCTGCAGGTGGCCGAGTGGCCGTAGCAGGCGCACGGGGCGCAGTCGCGGCCGTCCTCAGAGTTGCCAAAGTCGTTCCAAGTGTTGGGTTTGCAGTTTTCGCAGCTGTCGCCCTCAGAGTTACTCGAGCTGGTGCAGGTGCACAGACCGCCTTCGGCGTTGCAAGTGTCCAACCCACCGATGGGCGACACGGAATGGCCGTTGCAGTCGCACGGCGAGCAGTCGTCCGTGTAGTCGACAGCAGAGCAAGCGGTCGGCACGCCAACGGTGCAAGGACGGAAGAAGGTGGCCACGCAGCCTTGGCAGTGGAAGTCGTTCGTGTTGCCGTCGCAGGGCTGGGGAGCGCCAGAAAAGTCAGTCATGCAGTCGCCACCAAGCGCGTTGCACTCGTTCGAGACATAGTCCTTGTGGCCGTTGCACTCGCACGCCGAGCACGAGGTGCCCGACTCGGCGTTGCCGGTGGCACTCCAGAAGCCAACAATGCAAGACTGGCACTGATCGCCCTCAGAGTTGGAGGCCGGGTCGCAGTCGCACACGCCGCCATTGGGGTTGCACAGAGCGGGGCCGACGCCGTGGCCGTTGCAAGCGCAGGGAATGCAGTCGTCAGTGGGGTCGATGGAGCCGTCGGGGCGGAACGGGCGGTAGAAGCCGTCGAGGCAGAGCTCGCAGTTGAAGCCGGTCGTGTTGTCCTGGCAGGGGTCGCCCGCCTGGTCGCAGTTGCCGCCAGAAACGTCGCACGTCTCGGGCGAGCCCTTGTGGCCATTGCAGAAGCAGGGCTCGCATGTCTCGCCATCGACACCGTCGCCAGTGCTCGAAAAGTGGCCAGGCAGACAGCTCTCGCAGTGGGGGCCAGTGACGCCGTCGGCAGGGTTGCACGAGCAGCCGCAGCCGTTGCCGTCGCACTGATCAAAGCCGCCGACCTGGGGCAAAGTGGAGTGTCCGTTGCAGTCGCAGCGCTCGTTGCTGCACGACTGCAGGCGGCACGCGTACAGATCGCTGCTCGACAAGGGGGTGTTGTTGCATGGGCTGGTGGAGCGGCACCAAGTGGCCTGGCACGACTCGCAGTGGTCGCCCGTTGTCTCGGTGGTCGGGTCGCAGTTGCAGACGCCGGTGGACGCGTCGCAGCCGCGGACATTCTGGCCGGCGTCAGCAAGCGAGTGGTTGTGGCAGTTGCAGAGAACGCACGCGCCGCCAGTGGCAAAGAACTTGGAGAAGATGGCAGAGGGCAGGTCGCGCGCAGAAACGCCGGGAACAATCACACCGCTGCGGCCGCCTGATTCAAAGAACAGCGACTCGAGTTCGGACACGTCAATGTCGGCCAGGGCCGGACCGTCACAGACCAGCACGTTGTCGACGGCGGGAGCAGCGAGATCGCAGTTGACCACCTCGGCAGGCAGCGAGTTGCGGCGGTTTTCCCAGTGCGTGTTGTCGCACGAACCGCAGGTGTCGTCTTGCGTGTGGTGCTCGCAGCCCGTGCACTGGCCGGTGGCGTAGTTGCAAGTGGACGAATGGCCGTTGCAGATGCAGGTGCCGATCGCCTGCACCTCGGAGATGCCAAAGTAGCGGTAGGCGGCGTCGAGATCGAGCGACGAGGGCTCAATGCCGTCAAACACGAGGCGCAGGTCGGAGATGGCCTGGTTGCCGAGAATGGTGTCGCTCGCGCGGAGGTACTCGAGCACGTCGAACGTGACACGGCACGGGCGCTGGCGCTGGCCGCGACTCACGCAGTCGCGGGTGAAATCTTCGGTAACAGAGTCGGTCACATCAATCCACGTGCCAGAGGGCGCGAGGGCAACCCACAGCTCGAGGCGGGACTTGGTCGAGGTCGAGTGACCGGACTGGCGCGGGAGGATGGCGGCAGAAGGGCCATCGACGGGGTACGGCAGCGGGTAGTGGGTGAGGTCGACGGTGACGTACTTGATGCCAAAGCCAAAGGCGCCGAGCTCGATGTGGACCTGACGGTAGGTCGGGTTGTCGTCTTGGGCAGCGCACTCGAGCAGCGACTGCAGGTGCGATGTGCCAACCTGCTGGCAGCGACGGCTCGACCACACGCCGACGGCCGAGCTGGTAGCCCCCGAGCCGATCGAGTACGTGCTGTCGGTGATGGCGCTGGTGGTGCGCGAGCTGGTCGTGTACTGCGAGATGATGGCGATTTGGGAAGTGGGCAGAATAGCGGTGCCCAGGAGCGGAGCGGTCAGCAGGTGCGACAGAGCGCGAGTTGATGAGCAGGAGGCCTTCAGGCGCGAGTTGTCGAGGAACCACTTGTGCGCGCACTGGGTGGCATCAATCTGCGTGAGAGCCGTCAGGCTTTGGGGAGACGTCATCCATCCAAGGTAGGAGCCCTGCGAGTTGCGCACAACCACGTCGACTTTGGTTGGCGCGGAAAACAGCAACGTGAAGGTGCGGCCGCCAAACTCGGCTTCAAAGTCCGCGATGGCGCCGGCGTCGTGGATTTGCGCCTGGGCGGCAGTGTAAATGCCAAGCCAGGTGCTGGTGGACGTAAACGACAGGCCGTTAAAGTCACGAAGGGCAATGGCGACAGAGCTGGCGCCGATGGGGTCGCTCAGGTACTGGAGCGACTGGGCAAAGAAGGCGTCGAGCCATGCCAAAAAGTGGTCGGCATCCGCTTGGTCCACCAGCAGAATGGTGCTCGTGTCGAGCGTCAGCGTGGGCAAAATCTCAAACATGGTGTCTGCGTTCACATTGTCCACCACCTCGTACTCGAAATCGCTGACACTGCTGGAGGACTGGCGGAATTGCAGAAAGCCTGGACCAGAGTTGGTAAAGCGAATGACACTGAGTTCGGGCTCCTGACGCAAAGGAGTCAGCTGGGCCGTGACGGAAATGGCGCTCTGGGCGGCAACGTTGGTCTCGGGGGCTTGCAACACTGCCGGGAGAGAGAAGGCCAGGAAGAACTCTTGGGATGTGACAGTGGCGCCGTCGAGCGTTTCGATGGTGATGCGGTAGGTGAACTCGTCGTTGACTTGGCTCGGGGCAAGCTCGATGGCAACGTTCGAGGAGGAGGCGTCCACAGCAGTGGTGGTTGCGCTCACGGTCGGGATGGCAACCCACTCGTCGTCGTTCTTGATGGCACGCTCGACAGTCGCAGTGCAGCAGTTGGTCTCGCCGCCAGTCTCGCCGACAAGCAGGTTGAGATGCACGTTCTGCTCGGCGCACACCACCTTGTCCGAGGGTCCGGTGACAATAGACACACCATGTGCGGACGCGCTGATCAGTGCGAGCACAAGCAGCAGCAGAAGAGTAGCCCGCGGAGTCTTGTTCATGGTTTTGAGGCACCGAACGCGACACCAGTCGTGGCTACAACGAAGTGGTATTGATTGCGGTGAGTCATTTGGTATTTGCTTCCGACAATGGCATCATCATCGTTATTCCGTTCTTCGCACCGAATCCCAACGTTTCAGCGAAGGCGTGATTTGTTGCCTTTTTTTTTTTTTTTTTCTTTTTTGAATTCGATGCTTGGCAGAAGCAGCGACCCATTCCCCCCATTTCCCCCATTTCTCCCACTTCCCCCTTTGAGCGTCCACCAGACAACCACCTCTGCGATGACAATCAACGAACTCTTGTGAAACGCAATAGCGGAGTCTGCACGCCGTGCGGGAGAGTAGAGGCTGGGGATTTCGCAGCTCTGCTCTGATGGGAGCAACGCAGTTCCCGTTTGTGCCAATGCCCGGCCTCGCTTCACCCGCCTCAATGACAAATGTAAAGAGCGTTGAGCACAGTGCTTTTGTGGCACCACGCAACGCGTTCGGACTCGCTGAAGAGGGGGAGGGGAACAGAAAGCTTCAGTCCCGACACATTCGATTTTTTTTTCTTCTTGGTTTCATTGCCACGCTGTTGGATGACTCATTGCAGAGCCCAGTGATCAATGGATGGATTGCCGCAAATCAAGTCATGCAAATAGAGTTGCTGTGAATGCGGGTCAAAGCGGAGGCGCCGCGGGGTGTGTGCGCGGCTCACCTTAGAAGAAAGAAAAGAGAACAAAAAAAAAAAAAAAAAAAAAAGGAGGGAAAAGACAGATGGAAAAAGTACAAAAGACTGTTGCAGCTGAAGGATGAGAATGGTGATGAAGGATGATGATTATGAGCGTATCGAGGCAACGCGCCAACCTTGTGAACACCTCGCGTCTCTGAGACCTGCGAAACGGAAGCCAAACAAACTGAGAACTACTCACGCACCAGCTGAGAAACTCACCCCCTTGACCATTTTTGACCACTCATGGAGCACTTTGTAATTCTCTTACTCGCCCCTCTCCCCCCACATCGCTCTTTACAAGCTCGACAAGCTCACTATCAATCTCATAATGCATCTCAATGCAAAATCCATTCTTTTTTTTTTTTTTTTTTTTCCCTCTCATTTCCATTGCAGATGGCAATGCACCTGTACTCGTTGACGCTGCAGCGCGCCTCTGCCATCACCTGCGCGGTGCACGGCAACTTTAGCGGGACCAAGCAGCAGGAGATTGCTGTCGGCCGCGGCAGTGTGCTCGAGCTCCTCGCGCTGGACCAGGCGTCGGCCAAGGTCAAGACGATCGCCAGCATCAACATCTTTGGCGTTGTGCGCTGCCTGACTGCCTTCCGCCTCACCGGCGCCTCCAAAGGCAAGTCCTGCGTGCTGCGTGTTGCTCATAGCTAGGCGTTCAACTCTGCTGCCCCCTTCCTCGGAGGGTGGCTGCCAGCTCGTGGATGCCGTCGTTCAGGAATCGACGGATCTCGCAAATTTTTGGCGCGCAGTCTCCTTTGCGATTCAATTGCACCAAGAGAGAGAGGGGTCGATTTGGCCTTGTTGGACAAGGCGTGTGTGCTGTGTGTGGATGTGGTGTGTGGATGTGGTGTGTGATGGTCGTCCTGACCTTGAGCGATGGAGATTCACACGCGTCCTCTCTCTCTCCTCTCTCCTCTCTCTCTCCTCTCTCTCTCTCATGTCTCTCTCTCTCACTGCTCACTCACAACACGTGGCAACACTGAATTCTCTTTGCAACGTCACTCACCAATCCGTGCATGGCTCTTTGCCCCAATCACAGATTACCTCGTCGTCGGCTCAGACTCTGGCCGCGTCGCCATCCTCGAGTACAACCCGACAAAGTACGAATTCGAACGCGTCCACTTGGAGACATATGGCAAGAGTGGATCGCGCCGCATCGTGCCTGGTCAGTACCTCGCAGCAGACGCCAAGGGTCGCGCCATTATGATTTCTGCCGTGGAGAAGCAAAAGCTCGTCTATGTCATGAACCGCGACTCGACCGCCCGCCTGACCATCACATCGCCGTTGGACGCACACAAGGCGCACGCGGTTGTGTTTGCCACGGTTGGCTTGGACGTCGGCTTTGAGGCGCCGACGTTCGCCTGCGTGGAACTCGACTATGAGGAAGCCGACAACGACCCCTCTGGAGAGGCCGTCGAAGCCACACAGCAGCACCTCGTCTTTTACGAGCTGGATCTGGGCCTCAACCACGTGGTTCGCAAGAGCAGCGAGCCTCTGCCTGGGTGGGCCAACATGCTCATCCAAGTTCCCGGTGCGGACGATGGTCCCGGCGGTGTTGTTGTCTGCTGCGAAGGCTTTTTGGTGTACAAGTCGCCCGAAGACCCGGCCATTGACGTGCGATGTCCCTTCCCCGGCCGTCGTCACGACATTAGCGACCCGAGCAAGCGCGGCGCTGGTCGCGGCATCGTGGTCGCCCACGCGTCGCACAAGACCAAGACCAAGTTTTTCTTTGTCGTCCAGTTGGACAATGGCGACATGTTCAAGGTCACCCTTGACGTTGCCGACGACAATGTTGTGAGCATTCGCATGAAGCTCTTTGACACACTTCCAGTCGCAACGTCCTTGCACATTTTGCGCAGCGGACACTTGTTTGTCGCCGCCGAGCTCGGTGACCACCACCTGTATCAAATCACCCAGCTTGCCGAGAACGACGACGAGCCCGAGTTTACCACGCGCGGACTGGTCATGAACGGCCGCGTCGTGCCCTCGTCGGTGGCCCATGGCGGGGTCGAACTGAGCGCCTTTGTGTACACGCCGCGCCCGTTGCTCAACCTCGTCTTGTTGGACGTGATGGAATCGACGGCACCGACCATGCAATGCCGCGTCGAGGACTTGCTAGGCGAGGATGCACCTCAATTCTATCTCTTGTGCGGCCGCGGGCCAAACTCGACACTGCGCATTCTTCGACACGGTTTGGAAGTGAGTCAGCTCGCCGCTACCGAGTTGACGGCCAGTCCGGTCGCCATCTGGTCCGTCAAGCGATCCATTCACGACATCCACGACACGTACTTTATCGTGTCCTGGGCGAGTGCCACCGTCGTGCTCAGCGTCGGCGATCAGGTCGCACCCGTGTCGGACAGCGGCCTGCTTCTCACGGTGGGCACCATTGCAGTCTCGCGCATCGGTGAGGACGACCTGCTGCAGGTTTACACGGACGGCATCCGACACATTCGTGCAGACAGCCGCGTCAACGAGTGGCGCACGCCTGGACGTCGCCAAATCGTCCGAGCGGCCATCAACGACCGTCAAGTCGTGATTGCCCTTGCGGGTGGCGAGCTCGTCTACTTTGAGCTGGACATTACTGGCCAGCTGAACGAGTTTGCCGAGCGCTTCACCTCCTCGGCCGAAGTCTGCGCTCTGGCCATTGCGCCAGTGCCAGCCGATCGCCGCCGTGCGCGGTTTTTGGCGGTGGCTGCGGAAGACAACACGGTGCGCATCGTTTCGCTCGAGCTGTCCGACACACTGCAGAGTCTCGGTGTGCAGACTGTGGCAGATCGCGCTTCCTCGCTCTGCTTTGCCGATCCCTCGCTCGACAACAGCTCGGCAGACTTGGTGCTTGGAGTCGGCTTGCAGAACGGCATTCTATTGCGAACATCGGTCGAACCATCCTCGGGCAACCTGACGGACACGCGCACTCGCTATCTTGGCACGCGGCCCGTGATGCTCTTCCCCAGCAAGGTGCATGGCGCGGCAGGCTTTTTGGCGCTCTCGTCCCGCCCGTGGATTTTCTACGTGCAGCAAGGCACGCCGACCTTGACCCCTCTCTCGTACGACGCGCTGGACTGCGCCGCCACCTTCTCCGCTGCCAACTGCCCCAACGGCCTGGTGGCCATTGCTGGCAACACCCTGCGTGTTTTGAATTTGCCACGCCTTGGCAGCGTCTTCAACCAGACATCCATGCCGCTCAAGTACACTCCTCGACGCTTTATTGTGGACAGCGAGCACCGGCTTCTCGTCATTGCCGAGAGCGATCACAACACGTTCGCTGCTGGGCGAAAGGCTGTCGAGCAAGCGCGAGTCGCCGCGGAAACCAACACCACCCAGGCGGCCATTGCCGAATCCTTGCCCGACGCTGTCTTTGGTGCTCCAGCTGCCGGCGCGGCTCGCTGGGGATCGTGTCTTCGCATTGTGGACGCCCAGCTGCGCGAGACGCTCGAGTTGATCGAGCTGGACGAGGACGAGGGTGTTTTCAGCATGACCTCCTGTTCGTTCCACGGCCACGAAGGCCAAACGTTTTTCATTGTCGGCACCACCAAGGCGTTGAATCTCCAAACACGCGCCCACCAAGGCGGCTGTCTTTACACCTATCGCTTCAATCCTCAGACCCGCCGGCTGGACTTTGTGCACCGGGTAAGATTTTTGCTTTGCCTGTTTCCGAGTGGTATGAGAGCTCGACTGTTGACGCGCTTTTTGTTGTTCTGTTCTGATCAGACGGAGGTCGAGGACGTCCCCGGAGCCATGTATCCGTTCCAAGGACGGTTGCTTGTTGGCGTTGGGTCTCTATTGCGAGTATACGATCTCGGCAAACGGAAATTGCTGCGCAAGTGTGAAAACCGGGTATGTGCTTGGTATTTTGTGATTCCGGCGTACTTTGCTTGTTTTCCTGTAGTGTTTCGATGGACTCACGCGTCTCCTCTGTTTCTTTCCTCCGCGCAGTCGATTCCAAACTTTGTTTCGAGCATTACTACATCTGGAGGCCGTATTGTTGTGACTGACGTCCAAGAATCCTTCCACTTCCTTCGGTACCGACCAAGCGACAACATGCTGGCCGTGTTTGCCGACGACAGCAATCCACGCTGGGTCACAAGCAGCACCATGGTCGACTACGACACTGTTGCCGCAGGCGACAAGTTTGGCAACGTGTTTGTGCTTCGTCTGCCCCAAGATTTACAAGGTACGGGCGGGGTGTTGAAATCAATCGGAGAAAGATGGTGAGGGGTTTCTTTTTCTGTTTTTCGTCCTGATGACTGACAATGCATGGCACCAACTGCAGACGATCTGGAAGATGATCCAACGGGAGGCCGATTGTTGGGAAGCAGCAAAAACACGTTGAACGGAGCTGCCCAAAAGGTACGTTCCATCTATTGCTTTCGATGCAATGCAATACAATGCAGATACGCAGAGGGATCTCACTTTTCGTTTTCCCGACGTTTCTCCTTGTGCATTGCCAGGCGGATACGATCATCAACTTCCATGTTGGTGATACCGTCACCACCATGCAAAAGACCGCACTGATTCCCAGCGGTTCAGAATGCCTTGTGTACACCACGACTTTGGGCGCGATCGGCGTCCTCATTCCGTTCACCACACAATCGGATATTGACTTTTTCAAGCATTTGGAAATGCACATGCGTCAAGAAAATCCACCCATTTGCGGGCGCGACCATTTGGCGTTCCGATCGCACTATTTCCCCAGCAAGGTACGTGTCTCTTTTGGTTTGTGGCTGTTGCTGTTGTTGTTGTTGTTGTTGTTGTTGTTGTTGTTGTTGTTGTTGTTGTTGTTGTTGTTGTTGTTGTTGTTGTTGTTGTTGTTGTTGTTGTTGTTGTTGTTGTTGTTGTTGTTGTTGTTGTTGTTGTTGTTGTTGTTGAAAGTAGTCAAATATTGACCCAAGTGTGCATCCTTTTGATTTGCTGAAATCACAGAATGTTATCGACGGCGATCTCTGCGAGCAATTCAACTCTCTCGACCCGCACAAGAAGCGTCTTATCGCCGGCGATTTGGCCGACCGCACTCCAAGTGAAGTCTCCAAGAAACTGGAAGATTTGCGCACTCGCAGTGCCTTCTAATCAGATGGAGATGGGCATTGTTTCAAACTTGCTGTTGCCATCAGTAAACACAATCGTTTTTGTTTTTCGTAGAAATGCTCTACATGGGTAGTAACGTGATAACACAATCACAAAAAATCTCAACAAAAGAAATCAAGTCAACTCACAGAAAGTTGAAAAGAAAAGGGAATACAAACTAAAACAGAGAATATCAATCAAAGCACGAGGCTGAAGAAATCCTTCAGGCTTGGTGATGATCCTGCATCAGGTGCGAAATCTTGTCGAAAACGCGAGTGCGGCAGTCCATGCCCCAGATCAAATCCATGTGCTCGTAGTCTTGAATGCTTTCCGCGTGGACAATACGGGTAGCGCCCAAGGATTGCAACTGGTCTGTCAGCTTCTGTCCAAGCACAAGCTTGTCCTTGCTGCCCCACATCAGAGCGATCGGGCACGTGAGGTTGCGAAGATCGTACTGGCGCTGGGCAGTTGAGGGGAAGGTTTCCTGCTCGAAATGACCAACAAGAACAAATCGAAAACAAAACAATTCCGTTAGCGCCGCGCAAACTCAAAACGGACCCTGCTCGGACTCAACAAAAAAGAACACCACTCCATACCAGAGGATCGTCTTCGGCCAGGACAGGCGTCGAAGGTGGGGTGGCAGAAGATCGGGCAGCCGTGACCATGCAATTTGCGCTCCAGGGAACGAGCTGGCCCGCACGGCTCGCGTCGCACCAGTGCTGGATGAGCTTGCAGCTTGCCGGTCGAGGAGTAAACATAAAGTACTTGTTCTTGCGCGTCTTGTCCCAGAGTGCATCGCCCCAGTTGAACAGGTAGGCAAACATGTGATAGGCCACGGACGCAAAAGCGGTCACGTTGAGGTTTCGTTGAACGACGCACATGATGGGAATGAACGCCTTGTCGCCAAAGTAGGTGCGGAACTCGGCACGGGGTGCGTTGCTCAGATAGTCCAGCGCCCAGTGGCCGAGCGGGCCAATGTAGAAGGCCGGGGCCAAAGCGACAAACAGGGAAATCTTCTGGCTGAGCTCGGGGTCCTCGGAGAGACCAATGAAGGCCTGAGCAGTGCCCTGCGAGTGGCCAATGTAGCAGAGCTTGGCGTGGTTGGTTGTGCGCAAAACATGGTCAATCTGGTTTGGAAAGTCAATCTTGCCCATTTCGTCGAGAGACCAGTCCCAGAAGCGTTCGTCGGAAGTCGACCACTTGGCATGCTTTTCGAGGACGGTGCGGTTGTTGCCCAGCCAGACATCATAGCCCAGATCGGCCAGGTAAAAGGCAAGCGAGTCGGCGCGTTCGCTCGTGACGAAAATTCCCGACGACTGCATCAGGCCATGCTGCACGAGCACGGGGCGGAATCCTCCAACACTGCTGCTGCTGCTGCTGCTGCTGCTGCTGCTGCTGTTGGCGGTGGCAGAAGAAGAGGAAGAAGAAGAAAAAGACGCATCAGCAGGGCTGGCACGAGCCGCGGCGTCCTTGGCGGCCTGGCGATAAATGCGCTGCATGGGCAGAATAAAGCCGTCATCGGTGGAAATGTCGTGCTCCTCGCAAACAAAGCCGTGGAACTCGGCAAAGTAGCGCACAGACATGCAGGGCGTCTCGTTGGTCGTCGAGACGTGTGGGCGAGAAATGAACGCCTGGTACACGGCCTTGACAAAGTAATCTGGGCGGTACCACGCACCATTCACCGACTTTGCGTACTCTGCGCAGTACGCGCACAGCAGCAGGTAGCCCAAGAACATCATTGAGAACATTTGGCCAAACATGTCCTGGATCCATCCGCGCGTTGGCAAAAAGCTCTCCTTCCACAAGTACAGCGCGGCGGCTGCGACGAGCGTCACGCCCAAGCCGACGAGCTCGGTTTCCGCTGCCTGCACGAACAGCGACTGCACCAATTGCGTGACCATTTCCGTTGATGTCGGTCTGTCTGCCTTTTTAAGAGTTAAGAGTCTGTCAACAGCAACAAAATGAACGTGAGTTGCTGCAGTCCTGCGACTCTATTCAACAAAACATCGCTGTCATCAACTTTGCACAATTGAGTGTTTTATCATTGCTTCAAGCAATGAGAAGCTTCAAGATGGCCGAAAAGCCGGCGGTCGGGGCCATTGCTTTTGCATTGCGGTTTGTTGTTGTTTGAAAAAGGCTTTTTAAAATGTTGTGGAAGCTCAAAACAACAAAACGAAACAAAGCGACAAAGTGGAGCAACAGCAGCGAGGATGGAGCGTCTCAATGTTCACGCCAAGACAATAGAGATTCCCAAATCGAAATCCCGATGAAGAGAGAGAGAGAGAGAGGGAGAAAGGCAGAAAAAGAGAGGAAGAAAGGAAGAAAAAGAAAAAAACGGTGTCGTGTTGTGGGTCGACCATCATGCGACTCGCGCTGTCCACTCCACCATGATGAATTGGATGGATGGATGGATGGATGGATGGATGGGTTGATGGATGGAGCAATGACATGTGCTGAGACTGGCGAATGAGGGGAGGGGAAAGCGAGTAGAACTCCAAAAAAAAAAAAAAAAAAAAAAGAAGCGTTTGATTTTCAGCCAATTGGAAGAGCAAGTTTCGTCGTTGGAGAACGCACCGGACGAGGCAGCGTTAGAGAAGAGGAAGTCCCACCGCCCCCCCCCAAGACAGACAACGAGATGGATGATCACAGAGAGTACAAACTAAAGAATGAAGATGAAAGACGAAAGACAAAAGCCAAATCAATCATACAAAAAGCGCTGTCGGACTTACAAAAAAAAAAAAAAAAAAAAAAACGAAAATTAACAAAAAAGAAAAAAAAAGAGTGGGCTTTTTTTTTTTTTTTTTAATTTTATGGCTTTAAGCGGTAACTTGACTTCAACTCGGCAGCGGGCTGAGGTTGCAATCAAAGCAGAGGCCTCGCGTGAGGAGATCAGATACGCACTCAGCTCTGACAGCAACGCATCAAGCGACAGATCGCAGTGAAGAAAAAACAAAAACCCAAAACAAAATGGATCAACAATTAAAAAAAAAAATCAAGTTTCGTTTATTCACAGCTCGTTACATGTGATAACGTTTCGCAAAGTGGTGTGATGTTTGTGCATCCATCACACAAATCAACGCAGACAGACAGACAAGAACAACTAGCGGATGGGCACCAGCGAGCCAGCAGCAATGCAAGCGTCAATCCAGCTGGGAAGCACCGCGGGCGCGTTTCCATTATCACGGTCGGATGCAGCAGAGTCCAAGGATGGCACGACGACATGCGTGCACAAATCGAGCTCTGCTGGCTTGACAATTGTCCCGCCATAGGCAACAATGTAGCGCTGCAGACGACGCTTGACATCCGGAGACAGCTGCGGTGAGAGCAAAATGTTGGTGCCAACGAACGTGTCAGGCAAGGCGGGATCTGCATCGTCGTCGTGTTGCTGCTGCATCATCGGCTCAGAGGTCATTGAATGCTCTTTGGCAAAAACCGGAGCAGACTGTCTGACCGGAGCAGCTTGTCTGACCGGAGCAGCCGCCTCCTCGAGCTCATCTTCCGTATCCATGTCGTTGACACGACGCGAATCGCTCAATGTCGACTTTTTTGGTGGCTGACGACCGGGTACTTTGCGACCTTGCTCCTCTTCTCCTCCTCCAGAGCTTGCCGACGACGCTTTGACACCCGACGACGACGACGACGACGACGAAGGTTGGCCATGTGCGGGTGCTGCGCTTCCACCATGCTTGGAATAATAGTAAATGCTGGTGTGCACACCGGCGCGTGCCAGGCGGCTGCGGATGATGCGCTCGATCGAGTAGTAGTCGGTGCCTCGCATGTTGTGCCCAATTCGGGGCAGGTGGACGCTGGCTTGCACTCCGAGCGCAAACGTTGCAATCTTCTCGAGAGCCGTAGTGAAGGCAGCTTGCGCAAGGGGCGCCAGGTTTCCATTACGATCCCGTTTAAAACAGACGAGCAGGGCGACCCAACGACGCGCGGTGGAGTCGGACGACGCGAGCTCAACCAAATGGACGTCGCCCAGATGCAGATCGTCCATCTCGGCCGCCCGTTCGTAGCAATCGCCGACTGTTTTCAGCTCGCGGGTACCGCGGGCCAAGGCGTGACGATCCAGCGCGGAAAACACGCCGCCCCGACCCCAGCGACCCTCGTCATCCACGACATGCACAACCACGCACGACTCGCCCGGTTGGACTTGAGGGCGCGTCACGTCCCCGGAAACAAAGTTGATTTCGTCCTCGTCATCTTCGTCGACAACGCTGCTGCTGCTGCTGCAGCGGCGCAAGACCGCGCGCTGTGGTCCTGCAGCTTGAGGTTTGTCGAGCAAAGCGCGCACAAGCACGGGCAATGACGCGCTGAGGTACTCGTAGTGGTGTTGGTCTTCTGCCTTGTCCTCCTCCTCCTCCAATTCCTGCTCGGTCCCACTGGCAACAGCATCCAGCATTTCGACGAGATTTTGCGAGTGATAACCGTGCGATTTCCACAGCTCGAGCTTCTTGGCTCGCTCGCGCGCTTGTCGCTTGGCCTTTTGTGCCAGCCGCTCTTGTTGTCGCTCCAACTCGGCTTCTTCGCGCTGGCGTCGCCGCTCGAGCAATTCGGCGGGCGATAGTTTCGAGGCACGCTCGTCCTGGCTGTCGCCCTCGTCATCGCTGCGTGGTCGCCGCGCCCGGCGCTGCCGCCCATCCATCGTCATGCCCGAGCGACTCTCGGTTGCTGATCGCTCGCCCTCGGCTTCCGCCAGCAAGGCATCGAATCCATGCGGGTGTGGTGGGGATTTTGCCCGCGAAGGCTTGGCGGCAGCCTGCTCCGAGTAGTCGCGTCCTTCCCACAAATACAGGCTGTCCGAGACCTCTTCGTCCTTTGCCGACTGGGGTTGTTGTTGGTGTTGGTGTTGGTGGTGTTGTTGCTGCTGCTGCTGTTGTCGGGACGGGCCTGTGGACTCTGCAGCTGCGTCATCATCCGATACGGACTCGCGGGCAATAGGCGCCGCCATCGGCAGCCAGTGTTGCGTCTTGGGATCAGTGTCGCCCACCAGACTCGTCAAATACGCATCGGTCAACTCGTCGTCGTCCACGGATTCAGTGACAAACAAGTGCTCGACGCCATACTTGAGCATGTCCGAGAGCTCATCGCCAGTCGCGCCCGAGACTTCTCCTGGCTGCGCTGCAGATTGCGTGCCTCCCCCAAAATGGCCTTTTTGGATGACCGCGTGAGTGAGCTCGAGCTTGCGTTGAGCTCTTCGCAAGACAATCTCTTCCACTGTGTGCTGCGCGACGAGACGAATCACGCGCACCGGCCGCGTCTGGCCGAGGCGATGTGCACGCGCTGCTGCTTGTAGGTCTGCCTGAGGGTTGAAGTCGGAATCGAAAAAGATGACAGTGTCTGCCGACACGAGATTCAAGCCAAGACCGCCGGCTCGGGTGCTCAAGAGAAAGACGAAGCAGTCGTTGTCGTCGTCGTCGATGTTGTTGCTGGTGGTGCTGCGGTCGTTTTCCTTGTTGTGGCTGTTTGAGCTGGTAATCACAGGCTCATCGTCGTCGTCATCCGAATCAATCACGTTTCGACGGGGTGCTTTGAACGCTGGGGTTGGCTTGGCTGCCGCCTGCTTGTTCGTTGGTCGCCGTTGCGCCCCATTAAACTTGTTCACGGCTAGAAAGCGCTCCTCGCCACGAACAGAGCCATCGAGTCGCTCGTAGCCGTAGCCACAAAAGTGCAAGTAGTCCTGCAGAATGTCCAGCATGCGCGTCATCTGGGAGAAAATCAGGACGCGGTGACCCCGCTGCTTGAGGAACGGCAGTAGCGCGTCCAGCATGCGCAGCTTGGTGCTGGCATCAATGAGGTGGCGCCCCAGCTGGAACGGCTCTGGCTCGACGCCGTCAAACAGGTACGGGTGATTGACGCACTTGCGCAGCTCCATCAAAATGTTCATCAGTCGCGTTTTCGTGGGGTTGGCAAAGGCGTCAATGTCCTTCTTGAGAATCGCCTTGTAGTACTTTTTCTGGAGCTGGGTGAGTGTGCATTGGAGCACAACCTCCTCCTTTGCTGGTAGATCGGCCGCGACCTGCGCCTTTTCGCGACGAAGCAAAAACGGCATGAGCATCAAGTGTAGCTCTGTGGCAGACTCTTCGTCGGAGGCGACCTCGTCAAATGTTTCCAGAAACCCTTCGCGAAGGGATTCCGTGAAAACTTTGGGTGCCACGAAACTGTGAACAGCAAAACGAAAAAAACCAAAAAAAAAAAACAAAAAAAAAAATACAAAACTTGGTCAGCAACCCAAACAACAGCAATCAATGAAAAACACATCACGACCATGCTCCGCTTACCGAAACAACGAATACAATTCGCTGAGATTGTTCTGCACGGGGGTGCCAGTCAAGAGCAGCCGGAAGGGGCAGGAGAACTGGCTGAGGGTCTGGAACAGGACAGACTCGGCATTCTTGAGCCGGTGGGCTTCATCCACGACCATGGCAGAGAAGGAGATGGATTGCAGCACCTCCGCGTCCTTGATGGCAATGTCAAAGGTTGTGAGAATGACATCGACCGGACCATTTCGATGCATCGAGCCACGAGCCATGGCTGCAGTTTGTCGCACGAGGGTCTACGAGACAATGTGTTTGATTAGATGTAAAGCGTGATGGCAGTTCGTGGGCATTTTCGTGCTGCAAAGACGAAACAGCGAAAAGACCAACAACAAACCAAACCCCATCCTATATCGTTACCTCGCCAAGCGACTGCCGCTCTTCCTTGCTTCCAGCATACGACACGACAGCCAGCGACGGAGCAAACTTTTCGAGCTCTGCGGCCCAATTGTCCAGCACCGAGAGTGGTGCAACCACCAGGCACGGCTTGGCAGCGGAGGTTGCCGCAAAAGTTGTGTCAAGCAGCCGCGACCGCGCGAGCTGGATGACACCGATCGACTGCAAGGTCTTGCCGAGCCCCATTTCGTCGCCGAGAATGGCGCCTGTGTGGTTGCACAGCGCCTTTGCCATTGTCAGTGCGGCGTTGCTTGTGCGTGAATTGCCGGCAACCCGGTTGCTGTACGACGACCCGTCATCCTGCCCCAAGTCCATGCTCCCGTCGCCAGAGCGCAATGATGCCGACGCAACTTCGCCAGCAGGCACGCCGAGCAATGCCCTGAGGTGCGCGCGGAAGGCGAGCTTTCGCGCGAGCCAGTCAACGCCCTCCAATTGGTACGGCCGCAGCTTTGTCGCTGGGCTGATTCCCGCTGTGCGCAGCGACGTCGCAGTGCATGTATCCCTTTGAGCAATCAAACGTCAATGAAGCCAAAAAATGCAAGCAGGTGTTGAGTGCAAGCAGCAAGCAGCAACACACGCCGTTGTCAAGTTTTGTCTTTTTGGCGGGAAATCGCTCCTGTTGCGTACCATTGCTCAGAGAAGGCTGCAAACTCGTCTTCGTACGCGTTCAGCACACTTCGCAACTGCTGCATTTTCTCGTCTATTGTGTTTGTTCAAAAGCACAGAGTCTCAAAAGCCAAACTCCAACAACAAAAAGGACTGTTTCAACATTTCGATTTTTCCCGCCTTTTTTTATAGACGAAAATCCAGCAAAACGTGAAACACTTGAAAAGCAAGCAAAACAAAACCAATACTGTTGATCATCATCAAAAACTCGATGGTTTTGTTGCTTTTTTTTTTGCTGTTTGCTGAATTTACTTCAATGAACTCACTTCTTTTTTTTTTTTTTTTTTTCTTATTGTTCCATTGTTCCTTTGACATGCGAGTCGGACCCGGTCGCAGAACGCAGCGGAGAGGAAAGGCGGACGACGTTGTCGTTGAAGTCGACGGTGACGACGGTGTGCCTACAGTCTCGCTCGTGACGCCCAACCGCTGGGTGGTGCTCTACATGGCTGCCCACTTTCTCGATGGGCCCATGTACAAAAGCCACCTGGCCCCAAACCACAAGCAGATGAGCACCGCGGACACAGTGCACAGGCTGACTGAAGTGCTGGATCTGTCGGAGCTCGACCCCAACTATCCGTCAACGAGCGCGACGACGCAGAACAGCAACAGCAACAGCAACAGCAACAGCAACAGCGCCATCGATGCCACGGCTGGCAAGGCAGACCGGAAGAAGGACAACCAGCCATTGCGACAACCAGCCATTGCTAGAAAACCCAACTGGCTGGACTGGGCTGTTCGACCAACTGCGGCTCGGCAAGTGGGATGCAGCTCAGGTACGTGTGCCCCCGTTATTGCTTCGATGTGGATGTGCGTTGTGGTAGTCGCTCGCAATGCTTTTTTTTTTCCCGCCAAGATCAAACAACCCCATCTCCCAATGTCTGGCGGTCCGTGACGACTTGCTCATCTGCGATCCGATGTGTGTGTTCTGCTATAATAGAAAAACCTCGTTGTGCTGATGGACGCGTGGGCGAAGGAGGTGACTTTACCCGACACCAAACCGCCAGTCCACTCGGTCTTTCCAGAGCTGTGCGACGTGGCGCTCGAGAACGACCAGGTGTGGCTGCTGCGGGCCTTGGAAGAGCATACGCATATCCTGGCGCAAGCGATCGACAAGTGCGCCTTGGAGGGGCTGGATCCGAACAAGGTACGTGGGCTCCAACCTCGTCGTCGTTGTCGTTCGGAATGCTCCGCTCGGTCGGATGAGCGCCTTACCGATTTGGCTTTGATTTTGATTTGCTTATCGGGATTCAATCTTTGCCCTGTTCGTGGGATGGCAGGCGGATAAAATCTGGAACGACCGTCATCCCTATGCTCACCTTGCCGCGCAAGTTGGCGCCGTCGGGTGCATGGAATACATCCTCACCCTGGCTAGTAAGTGGTTTCTTGTTGTTGTCGTTGTTGGAAGCGATGTTGGACGTTGTTCGCTTGTTGTGTTGGGTTTGTTCTGCTGGACACTCATCGCTTGACGAAATGCAGAGCAACGTTTAGGCAGCAACGTTGGCCTGTTCATCAATTCCACGATTGCATCGAAGTGCGTAGCGCTGCTTCTCTTGTATTGCGCGGTGTTTTGATTGGCCCCGTGGCAAAGAAAACCGATGGTGTTTGAAAGTTTCTTTTGTGGCTGTTTCTGATTTTGTGCTCGTTTTTCTTTGGTTTTTCTTTGTTTGTTTGGGGGTTTTTTGTTTGTTTGTTTGGGGGTTGTTTGTTTGTTTGTTTGTTTGTTTGTTTGTTTGTTTGTTTGTTTTTTTGTTTTTTGGACGGTTTTTTTTTTTTTTCGCACAGCACCCTGCTGCATCGTGCAGTCGAGTTCAGCAGGTTTGAGATGGTCAACTTGCTGGTCAATGCCAAGCCCGATCTGACAATCAGAGATCACAACCGGAGAACCCCGCTGATGACGTGCGAGCACAACCATGAACGCGTGCTCGGACAACTGCGCGACCGCGCCGAGCAGCAGGCCGCTCAAGACCAGCGGTCGCTCCTCGCGACCCAACGATTGGTCAGAGCTGCGCAAAAGCTGTTGCAGATGGATCAAGAACCGTCTACCGATGCTTCAAGTGCTTCAGGCGCGAGCGCAGCAGCGCCCAGCACCGGAACGCGAGGAGGCCATGCGGGCAGAGGACGGCGTGGTCGACAGCCTCAAGCCCCGACGGAACAGGTGCCAAGTTCCGAACCAACTCTGCTCGCCAATGGTCATGCCACCGAGAATGGCGGTGACAACACTCCCAAGGTCGACACTTCCGCGGCCACTTTGACCGTTTCTGCGGCAACTGTAGCCGATCGCCCGAGAAATGGCCGTCGCCGCGGACGTGGCGGTCGCACGCAGACGCAAAGCTCAGCTGCTGAAGTCTCGACCACTCCTGCTCCAGAGACCGCAGCCCCGCTCCCGGCTGATGCTCCCGCCGTTGTGACTCCTTCCCAGCAGCCCGCGCCACCGACGCAGCGTCGTGGTCGTGGTGCTCGAGGAGCAGCGACGACGACAAAGGCGACAGCCCCGACCCCACCCGAATCCACGCCTGCTCCCATCTCTAGTGGAGTGCTCACCGAGTCTACGATTTCTGCGTCCGATGCTAGTGCGAGTGCGTCTGGATCGACAGCTGCTGCTGGTGCTGGTGGTGCTCATCACGAGATGTTGGCCAAGCTCAAAGAGGAACGCCTGAACGATGCCCAGAACAAAATCAACGAATTGTCAGAAACTCTTGACAAGAGTTTGGCGTCGCTTCGTGCGATTGAGAAGATGCAGGCTACTGTCGTGCGCTGCTTTGAGCCTTTGCTGCGCTATGACGACATCTCAAACGTGTTGGCGACCCTGTCGTCGCACCGCTTTCGCGCAATGGCCATGGATGTCTTTGGCATTGAGCGTTTGTTTCTGGCAATCAAGGCCCTCCTGACTTGCTCTGAAGGTCCCCAGCGGACTCAGTTTTTGCGCATTTTGCGCCTGACGCTTGTAAGAAACGAGAGCAATGCTCAAGGGGGGTTCTTTTGTTCAAGTTTTGCTCTTGCTATCGGGCGTTGTGGTTGGTTGAAGATGTCCTCATTTTTTTGTCGACTGCCATTTTGCGTGCTTGTTAGGACCACATCACGCACAAGTCTGCAGCCTCCAAGACGAACAAGAAAAACGCGGCACCGGCCCAGTCTGCCAAACACACTACCATCCTCACAGAGGATCAGCAGCGAATTCTAGTCGAAGCCATGCTGTCCCACAACACCCCCATCACCCTGCTGAACGAAGCTGTTGCGATTCTCAAGGCACAACCTGCAGCTGCCTGGCTCAAGTCGCCAGAAATGCTTCGCCGCTTCGAACAGCGCATTCAGTTTATTTCTGGACTGCTGATCTTCAATCTTGACGCATCCAGCGGTGTCTTGCGAGAGCAATTTGGTCCGCTCACCGATCTCTACTTCTGGCTGCTCTCGGTAGCGCCTGCTGCAGAGTGCTTCCGCCAACAACGTGTCCAGCTTCGGCAGGGCTTTCTGCTGCCCTCGCCGCCGTCAGCATCCACGTCCGCCAAAGCCTCGACATCATCCTCTGCTTTGTCGTCGTCGTCGGCCTCCTCCTCTTCCTCCTCCTCCCTGTCGGGCCTCAGCGAAACGTCCTTCTTCCCAGACCTAAACGCTGTCTGGCAGAATTTCGATCGGTTCATGTCCATCGTCACACCGGACTTGCAGGTCTGGAACTCGGATCGCATTAGCTTCCTGTTCCAGGCCTTCCATCGCTGGTGTTACCTGATTGAGCCTGCTCCTGCTTCAGCGGCCATAGTGGGACCCGGCAGTGACGACACAGATTCCAGCGCAGGTAAAGGCAAAGGCAAGGGCAAGGGCAAGGGCAAATCAGGGGCTTCTCTCGAGGCAGGCAAGCAGAACAGCCGAAACCCGAGCAACCTTTTCAAAGCAATTGCCTCGCAAGTCTCGGCAGCTCGTCCATTCTCCCAGCAGCTGTTTGCCACCTCCACCGCCTGCAAAGACGACCCGGTTTATGCGTTTGGCATGTCGCAAATTCAACCCAAGAAGCAGCGCAAGTCACAGCACGGCTACTCTCGCAATGGCGACGATGACGACGACGATGAGGGCTGGCATGACGAGTATGATGATGATTCTATGAGCCGCTCTGGAAGTGAGGCCGAAGACGCTTGGGGCAGCTCCGAATACTCTGACTCGAACCACTCGGATTTCGACGACGAGAGCTCTGAAAACGCCGAGCTGCGTCAAGCGCGTGAATGGTTGATTGCCCGTCAGCAACACCGTCTGACATACGTGCCCTCTGGCCTGAAAGAGTTTTGCATCAAGCACGCGGGCGCCATTCAAAGCTTGGTCAAGGACGACACCAGCCTGCTGAGCGGATCGTCCTTCTTGTTTGACATTCCCAACATTGTTCCCCTCGCGTCCAAGCTCAAGTGGCTTGGCTACCTCGCACGCTCAAACCAACCCGACGAGGACCTGTCCTTCGAGCTCAGGCTGCCCCGCGACAACTTTTTCCGCCAAGCTGTGCAACACGTCGTCCACGCCAATCCCGCTGCGCTCATCTGTGACTTTGGTGTCACGTTCTTGGAAGAAGAGGGCATGGGATCGGGGCCGACCCGCGAGTTCTTCTCTCTGATGCTCTGTGACATTCTTGGCGCACCCCGCAGCGGCGATTTCCACGCGCACATGGGAGAGAATGTCCTGGATCTGCCTCTGCAGGGCCATTGGCCGGCTCTCAAGCGCGCGGGCGCCTCAACCGAAGCCGGTGACTCGAATCCTGATTCCCGCCATGGTGGCAGTGTTCGCGAGGCGGGTCGAGGTCGTGGTCGTGGTGGTCGTGGTCGTGGTCGAGGTCGAGGTCGAGGTGGCCACCAGTCCCGCGGCGAAATCCCGACATTCCCCGCGGCACCTCCGAGCGCTCACGAGGAGGAAGGGCAGCCCACTCCCATCCCCATTCTGGCTGGATCGAGCGCGACGGCGGCGAGCTCCCAAACTTCCCACACATCGGCTCCCGCAGCGAGCACGACGCATGACAACCAGCGCGGTGTTCTGTTTGTTCCGTCCGGAGACGCCAGATCGGTTGTGGTCGCGCCTTTTGCACAAAACAAGATGAACAAGCTCATGGTTGCTTGCTACCGTTGCATTGGGCGGATGCTCGCCGTCGCGCTGATCAGCGACATTCCGTTCGGTCTTCCGTTGCCTCTCGCGTACTTTAAGTTCTTTGTGGACGAGGAGCTGGAGCTGGCGGATTTGGCAAGCGTCGACCCGGCGTTTGCCGCCTCCATGGAAAAACTGCTGCACACAAGTGCCCAGGATTTGGCTGCGGCCAATCTCGAATTCACCTACACGACCGAGAACGGTAGCACCACCATTCCTCTTGTGCCCAATGGCGAAAAGCTGAGTGTCACGTCGGCCAACGTCAAGCAGTTTGTTGACCTTCAACTCCGTGCTCGCATGTTCTACAACCGGCAAGTTCAGTTGGCCGCACTGCGCTCCGGGCTTTTGGAGGTGATTTCGACCACGTATCTCCGTGCCTTGAGTCCCGGGGAGCTGTCGACGTCCCTTCGAGGTGTTGACAAAATCAACATTGCCGAGTGGCGCTCTGTGATGCGGTAAGCGACAGCGTACCATTGGATTTGAGGGGTGGGGTCTGCATGAGTGCTCACTATTTCTCACTGTTTCTTCGTCGCCGCCATCGTCGGGGTTTTTTTGTTTTTTTGCCTTGTGGACTTTGCAAGCTCGTCCCCGATCGTGGACTGGTTTTGGCAGTACGTCCAATCACTCGACCAGGACATGTTGGTCAATCTCCTCATGCTGTGGTCTGGCAGTCCGCAACCGCCCGTGTTTGGCTTTGCTCACACATTCCAGGACGAAACCTGGACGATCTCGCCGACAGCCAATGCTCTCCCGACCAGCAGCGCTCTCCCGACCAGCAGCACTTGGTAAATGGTGGTTTTTGTTGTTTGTTGTTTGTTTTTGTTTTGTTTTTTGTTTGGTTTTTTCCCTTGTTTGATTGTGATGTTTTGTTTGATTCCTAACTATCTCCCCTGAACGTGATTTTCGCGTCGTTTTTGTGTGTTGCAGCTACCTCAACCTCAAGATTCCGACGCGCATCCAATCCTACGATCAGCTCAAGAAGGCTTTCGACGTTGTGAGATTGCTGACTGGTGCCGCTTTCGTCGTTTGCTCTAGTTCGGGTCGTCGGGCTACGCGTTCAGCTGATCAAGGCATCATGTGATGCTATCAATGCTGCCCCCACTTGGAGTGCTCTTATCTATTCATTGTAGTAAATGAAAGATGCAGAAACTGATTTTCGGACTTGTCCATTGAACGTACAAAACACCAAAGATCAACGAGCTCGCGCGACAGAAACGAAGAATGACGGAAACACGCTCAGGCACTGAGAAGAAAAGTGTGTGTGTGAGAGTGTACTATGAACGGTGGTAGTACACCTTGTACTCGGGGTAGACTTGGCTGCTCTCATACACCTGGTGGAAGAGGTGAACACTTAGAAACATTGCCACAACCAGAAAACCCCCTTTACCACGCGCAATTTCACTCCGTCACATAATCACCACAAACGTACGACATATTCGCGGAAGTTCAAGTTGGCGGATGACTTGTTGGTGCGCGCTTCGCCAAGAACGGAGTTGTAAAAGTCCTTGCCGTTCGGCTTGGTGGGTTCTTTCCTGCGGTTGTGCCAAAAGTCGCCCTGAAGGGTTGGTTGAGAAAGAGGAGAGTGAGCGAAACAGTGAGGGGGGTCAACAAAACAGCCATTTGGGGAAACAAAATTCGCGTGGAAATGGCAAGTTAGAAATGGCAATCAACCGCACTTGGTTCGACAAATCAACAAATCAAAAAAAAAACTCACAGGCTTGTTGCCTCGGTGAACCACTTCCTCCAGGGTGTCGCCGAGAATGACGCGACACAGAAGCATGCAGCATTCGTCCGACTTGACGCAGCCGCAGGTACCTTGTTTGCCGAGCGCGACCGCACCGCTGGCCTTGCACTTGCCAGAGTGGGTGTATTGGTTGGACTTTGAGGAATCCTCGGCAAAGTACAGGCCAGCGCCAAACATGCCGTCCAGAGAGCAATGGCGCGGGTCGAAGCCGAGCTGGGTAATGTCGTCCACAAAGCTCGCGTTCAGTCCGTGGAAGAGGAAGAATTCGTTGACGGGAGCGTTTGGTGCAAGCGTCGACACCACTTTACTGGTGTTGGTCTTCACTTTGGCCACTGGGGCGGCCTTGCCACCAGGCAGGGATTGCGTGATGCGCTGCAAGCGGGCGTTGTAGCGCAGCCACAGCCCTGGATTCTGCACGCGAACCACACGGCTGGGCTTGAGCTGCGAAAATGCAATCTTGTGGTTGGTCGTGTTTTGCTGGTGCATCGCCTGGACGGTGGAGGTGAGCGCCTCAGACACGGCAAGCTCCTCCTTGGAGCCCGGAGTGACGTTGACCTCGTAGTAGTTCATGTCCGAAAAGTTGGTCCAGGTGTGTGGCACGTTCGGCAGACTCAAGTGGCCAACCACAGGCGCAGGGGCAGGCGCAGGAACAGCGACAGCGGCGGCTGCAGGCGCAGCAGCTGGATCGTCCGTCCGCGCCTTCTTGTTGGTATGGGTGGCAGCAGCAGCAGCAGCAGCAGCAGCAGCAGCAGCAGCCGGCTTGGGTGCAGCGGGAGCTTTGGGAGCCTTGGGAATGAGCTCACGCTTGACGGTGCGTCGCTTGTTGGGATCGTCGTAGCGGCGCTGCAGGTAGAGCTTGGGGTTGCGGAGATCGACGTAGCGTTGCGAATCGACCTTGGCCTCCTGTTCTTTCTTGGTGAAGGAGTCTTCGAGAATCTTGGACGTGGCCGCGTCGTACTCGACCCAAATGTCCTGGCTGCCCTTGGAAGAGTCGCCCGCCCAGAACCAGCGAATGTCGTCCTGGCCATCGTCCTCGTCCTCTTCCTCTTCGTCCTCGTCGGCAGGTCGCTTGACAGGGCCAGAAGTAGCCTTGGCGGAGGCAGAGGCAGCGGCAGCGGCAGCGGCAGGAGCGGCAGCTTGGTCGTCCTCCTCATCTTCCTCATCCTCCTCATCTTCTTCGTCATCTTCTTCGTCCAGCGCTTCTTGCAATCGCTTTGCCAGCTCTTTCTTGGCACCGCTGGACTTTAGTCCGCGCTTGAGCAGCTCGTACTGGAGCTCAATGACCTGCGAGGATGGGGAAAGTGAGGGCGCGAATTTTTTTTGCGCAAGAAACATACAGAAGAAATCCAACTTGAACTGCTGTTGTGTCACCTTCATGTTGGCAGGATCGAGAGCGCCAGCAGCTGCAGGCTTGGATTTGGACCCGTTCGTGGCAGTGGTTGCTGCAGCAGGAGCGGCAGCAGCAGGAGCAGGAGCAGCGGCAGCAGGAGCAGCAGGAGCAGCGGCAGCAGCAGCCTTCCCTTTCTTGGCAGGAGCAGCAGCCGCAGCGGGCTCGTCATCTTCGTCATCGGGGTCTTGTCCAGCGACCAGACGACGCACGAGGCGACGGCGAGAAGGATCGTCCTTGCGCCGCTGCAGAAATTGCTTTGGATCTGAGAGATCAATGAAACGCTCGTCGTCGACATCCACGCGCTTCAGTCCAGCCTAACAACAACAGTAGTGTCAACCACACGCAAGTCAAGATGAGCAATCAATGTTGTTCAAGTCATCGATGCCATCAAAAACGATTTTTCGTTCCAAAAAAGCCGGCGATTCGGACTTTGCTGAAATCGTATTCAACTCGCATTTGTCTTTTTGTTTTGTTTTGGTTTTTTTTTTCCCGCTGATCAACCTTTCGTGATCAACAGACAACACTTCCGAATGACTTTTGGTCTGATTTCGGACGACTTGTGATTTTTTTGGCGCCAGTTTTGCATGAGTTGCAAACAAAACAAAAAACCGCTTCGTTTTGATTTTTTTTTTTTTTTCTTGGCTGGCTTTTTTTTTTTTTTTTTTTTTCCATTCAAAATTGCCAGTCAATAGTCTGCTCGCTTTCGCATTGTCTGCTGCTTGGCTCGGCGTCTCGCGTTGCGGCGCCAAATCCCAGCATTGCACGCTCCATCGCTCGCTCGCTCCGCTTCGTCGTTCGTCATGTTGGCGATCCCCTGTCCTGTGTTGGAGTTGCAAAAATGGAGTGAAACAGCAGCGTTACATTGAAGGCGGCTTCAACAACCGCCATCAGCTTGGCGTCGTAGTCCACCCAGACATCCTGCGATCCGCGTCGACTGTCCTCAGCGCGCTGCCATCGTCCAGCCATTTGTTGTGTGTTGATCGAGCTCGACGAGAAGTGAAAAAGCAAAAACCTAAAAAAAAAAAAAAGAAAAAATGACTGGATTTTGCATTACGGGGTTTTTGTTTCGTTTTTGTTTTTGTTTTTGTTATCTTGGGTTTCTTGTCGGATCTCTTGTGGATGGGGCTGACCTTTGGAAGCTGTAATGGTCTTGCAATAAATATTAATAACATGGTTGTGGGCGTTTTTTGAGCATTCTTCCCAATGCAACTTTCGCCAAAAGTGAAACACGCACAGTCATTGTTTCGGTCGTTTCGTTGTTTTCCGCTTCAACCAACCCCCGCATATATATCGCCCATCCACGCAATCAGCCATGTTCAGGAAACCGTTTCACATCAAGACAAGCGTCATGATGCGCTCGAGCGACCAGCGGAAGCTGCGACAGCGCATCCTGGCCCAGATTGGCGCACATGCGCCTGCGCTTGCTGCCCCTGCCCCGGCCCCAGCCGCTGCGCCTCGTGCTGATGCTGATACGAATGCTGACTCTGCCGACGCCGATGCCACCAGCAAGCAACAGGACCGGTTGCCGCTCTGGGACGAGCACGAGGCGTTGACCATCACCAAGGTCGTCACTTTTGGCGGCGATCCCGTCACCATCTACACGAGCACGACGACCAACCAGCCATTGCTGTTCGAGTTGGACTCGGGCTTGCTTGTGCCAACAGGTGACAATTTTGTGGCAATGCCTTTGCTCAAGGCGTAGGCTTTTTTTCTTTTTCCTCACTGCTCAAACACTCACGATACATGCATCTCGTCTATCTGTGAATCTGCACCAGTCTACATGCTCTGGCGAATTCCAGCACTCGTCCCAACATTTGTCACGTCCGACAATGCATTCGAGCGCATCGAGAACGGCGCAGGTAACAGTGAATATTGGTCTCCCGATGTCGCTTCGTGCATAATTTCTGAGCTTTTGTACCGGTGCCGTGTGCAGATCTCATGCTACCTGGTGTGATTGTGCGGCGACCGGATCTCTCTCGCGTAACGGTTGTCGGACGACTGCTGGATGTGCAACACTTGGTGCAGGAGCTCGAGCCAATCTCCATCGACCAAGTTCGTGGCGTTACCATCCTGGGCAATGGCGGGTAAGGCCGCTTGCCGACTCAATTGAATTCTCGCGAGTTGTCAGGAACTCTGTCAACTCTCTTTTTCGCTCTCCGAGATGAATCCGGGCTCACACATTCTACACTGACCCCAAAAACTACAGAGCGGCTGTTTGTGTCGGCCGAGTTGTCGTCGATGCAAAGCAAATCCAGACCATGGGTCCGCGTGGGAAAGCGCTGGAGGTGCTTCACACAATGGGCGATCAATTATGGCTGTCGGGTGGCAAGGGCAAGCTGCCGCAGTTGCCCGACCCTTTCGTGGCATCGCTTGGTAAGGTCTTTTCGAGCCTGGCTGAGCATGCACAGAAGCAGCGCTCTGGTACTGGAACTCAGGATCTCACTTGCTTCCATGTTTACAGAAGAAGATGACTTGGACTTTTCCGACGATGAAGAAGAAGAGGAAGAGGCTGAATCTTCGTCTGCTTCTTCTTCTTCTTCCGCTTCTTCTGCCCCGGCTCCTGCTGCAGAAGAACCTGCTGTCGAGTCGAGCGCGAACAGCTCTGAAGCCAGCACCTCGGGGGCTGCTGCACCTGTCCAGGAAGACGACATTGATCACGATGCTCTTCTCGAGACGTGCTTCTTCCATGCCTTGAAAACACTCGTCGAGGACAAGCAGCTGCCCATCACCAACAGTGTTCTGTTTTCGACACACATGCTTGCCTGCCGTCCACCGGATGTCGAGCTGGATTTGAAAAAGACAAAGTACAAGAAGGTATGGCTTGACTCGCTTCAAGCTCGTTTCATTTGGCGATGGCACTGCTCACGAATCAAGAAATCGAATAACTCCCCCTCCCTGCAGGTCTCAAAGTTCTTCCAAGAGATGCAGAAACGTGGCGTCATCAAGCTGAAAGAATATCAAAAGGGCGTTGAAAGCCTTGCTTCCGTCAATCGAGCGCATCCAGAGTATGGAAGTTGTTTGCTGTTGTTGTTGTTTTTTTCATTTTGTATTTTTGTTGGGTTGGGTCGGTGGGATTCCGTCCAAACCTCAAAAGACTAATCTCCCCGTTTCTGTGCTGCAGCCTTGTCGCTTTTGTAGTTCCCGTGTACAAGGCAAAGAAGAAGACGGCTGCTGTCGTGGAAGAGGACGAGCCCAACGTGTCCATTCTCGAGCTGTATGGTGCCTGGACGGCAGCGCGTCCCATCTTTACAGAGTATCATGAGGAGCTGCTCAAGGAGCACGGTGATGCCAAAGCTGCTGCTTCCTCGAGTGATGCATTGCCGGTTCCTGAAGCCAAGGCATTCCACCATTTCGGGTTGGTGCAAAAGTTGAAGGTTGTGAAATTACTGGATGGTGTCGCAGGCTGCTCATTGCTCGTGTTTGTTTGTGCAGCAAGGAAGCTGTTTACACCGCCAGTGAGGCTCGAGATGCCTTGTCGCGATATTTCGTGCGCCACAAGCTGATTGTCGACAACGATCGCAGGTTGAGTTTCCCATTTCTTGGAAATCTGGCAACGGGGGTCTCGAAGAGTGCTCACTTGAACCATCTTCGATTCTCTGGTTTTCTCATTTTTAATGGGAATGCAGAATGATTAATATTGACCCGCAGTTGGCCGATCTTTTGTTGACGAAAGAAGAACGAGCGTCTGGAGTGAGCCGATTGGCGCGTGACGATCTTACCAAGAGGTAAGCGTCCGAATCTTTGCTCTTTGTTTGCTTGCCTGAAGCCAACCCTTGGAAAACCAACCGACCAAAACAAACAATGCGCGCAGGCTCCTGACTGAAATGCGACCCTACCATCGCCTTGACATTCCTGGAGATGATCCAGTCGTTCGGTATGCCCTTGTTGGGTTCAGAGACGTTGTGAAAGTTCCTCTGCTGGTTGAATCATCACCATCCTCACTTTTGTTTGTCCCTTGCGGAAATAACAGCAAACATCGCGTCAAGCACGTCCTGATTCGCACTGAAAAACGTGTCGGCCGCAAGCTCGTCACCGTGATCAATCACGCAGATCTTCTGGAGATTAATCTCGATAGCATGGCCAAGCAACTGTCGAAGCTTGCCGCGGCAAGTGCCGCAGGTGCGTGAGGATTTGTGCCGATACTTTTTTTTCCGTTTCAATTTTTTGGTTGGAGAAATCTCACTGGCTTTTGTTTGTGTGCTTATGCAGTTACGGTTGAACCGAATGGATCGCGTGTCGTTGTCGTTCAAGGTGACGCCGCGTCGGCCGCTACAAACTATCTCGTCACAGAGTGCCGTGTACCCAAAAAGTACATTCAGTTTGAAGATAAAGTCAGCAAGAAGCACTGACGGCTGTCTTCTTCTTCTTCTCTTCCTCCCCCGATTGATTGCGACTTGCTCGAGTTCAGAGTGTTGCACGAAGTGATTGACTTCTTCTTCTCTTCCTCCCCCGATTGATTGCGACTTGCTCGAGTTCAGAGTGTTGCACGAAGTGATTGAAGTGATATGAAACCAAATATACTTTTATTTGTATCAAGAATATTTTGTAGCTGTCTTTCGCAAATTACTTACCGAGCATTTCGAGTTGAAGCCGATCCACGGAACACCAGAATCTACACTACAAGCACAAAAAGATGCAAAGTAAGTTTCAGGCAAATCAGCTGAGGGAGGGAGTGAAATGCAAAGAAGCGACTCAAAATGAAAGTGTTCAGGTACTATCTAGCTTTAATAACGAGCGTCACTGGGTTGAAGACCCTACGAGATAGAATAAATTGTGCATCATAACACAGAGAAAGGAGATTGGAGTGGCTTGGGAGTTGGGAGGGGTCTGTGCGAGGAAAGATGGTGCTTACCAGAAGAAGCAAAGCGGCTGTTTGGTTTTCGTGTTTGTCCGTCATCCACGTCAACGTCTCGGTATAGGAGCTACAAAATAACAAGAGAATCAAGATAAAACAAGTTTAGCAAAATGAATCGAGAGACATAAAGGAGGGAGAAGAACAACGAAAGGAAAGGAATAAAGTGGGCAGTCATTGACAGAGCATGTTATCAACAAGAATATGTTCAGTAACTCTAGTTTGTAAAAAGGGACACACGAGTGCATCGCCTTTTTTTGTCGAACAATCATCGCCGCGAGATGGTGGAAAGAGGGGAGGAAAGGAAAGAGTGAGAAAGAGATTGAATGGAGAGTGCCTACCGAGTGATCAAGAGCGCCTCGAGTAGCGGCGGGCTGACTGCAACTGTGGATGCAATAGCAATGCGTCAATGTGCTTTGTCATCGAAGGGGAAGAGCAGAGCAGAGCACAAGGGGGAGGGGCGGGGACGGCCGACCACGCGGTCAGAACGAAACCGGCGCCATGTGGAGATCGCGAGATCTTTCAAAAGATGATCTAACCAACGAAGCAAAAGCAAATCGCAAAGTGAGTGGAAAAGAAGAAGAAGGCGAAAAGGCATAACGAGAAGGAAGGAAGCGAAAGGCGAACAGTCAAAAACGGAAGAACGAAAGCAGAACGAAAAAGAAGAAGAAGGAAAAAAAAAAAAAGATGGCGAGATTTTTGTTGTGTGTGACGATTGTTGTGATCAGAAACGAGAGTAGTCTTCAGCCTAGAAATTGCTGCTTTGAGCCTTCCCAGGATATTGAAATCAGAGCCCAGTGCACTCGTTATGAAATCATCAACTCAAAAACAAGGTCACAATCAAAAGAAGAGAGAAAAAGAACAAGAAAAAAAGGCGGGAAAACTTACAATTTGAAAAAAAAAAGACTGACTCGTCCAAATACGGAATGGATGGTCAATGTCAATCTGAGAAAAAGAGAGAATTATGAAAAAGAGAGAATTATGAAAAACGAGCAGCATGTATTTAAAGGAGAGATTGAGTGAGGTTGTGATTGTAGGGAAACGCGAGGCGATGATGGTTCAGTTCTGAGTGAGTTAGGCCTCCTGTCTGCAAGGGCGTTCTCGCATGAAGCTGCTTTCGTCCGTTCATCGCCTCCGTGCGGCTGAACATCTCAACACGGTACAGCACTTTAGTTTAAAACTGCTTGCTGTATTCTTTTGGAAAGTGCACTCCTTTTTCTCCTTCTTTCCTTTCTTCCTTCATCACTTTTGTACACGGTACAGCACTTTAGTTTAAAACTGCTTGCTGTATTCTTTTGGAAAGTGCACTCCTTTTTCTCCTTCTTTCCTTTCTTCCTTCATCACTTTTGTATGGCGACGAACGAGGAGCGCGCAAAGTACCAGCGCGCGTTTGCAGAGTCGGCGACGCGGCCAGTCATTGTCGACCACGTCCATGTCGACGGGCTTACATTCACCAACCCAGAGACAGTGAGCTTTTTTTTAGGACTTTGTGGACCTTGTGGTCTGCATTTTGGCTGGAGGCGATGCATGGTGCATTGGCGGACGAGGAGCGAGAGAGATCTCTGACAGAGAGCGCGATTTGCTCACTTGTGTGCGCGCCACTCTGCGCTGCGCTGTGCTGTGCTGTGCTGTGCGGGCAGGTGACCTATGCGAGCAAGGCCGTGTTTGAAGCCAAGACCGTGGCAGAGGCTCTGCAGGCGGCGAGCGCGTCCGCGGTCGAGCTCCAGCGGCTGGGCATCTTCAAGAGCATCGAGGTGACGGTGGACGCTGCACCGTACCAGCCGCCGCCACAGGTGCACGATCCGAGCTCGCCGCAGCACATTGAAGTGACGTTCAACGTGACAGAGTCATCGCGGCTCGCGGCGTCGAGTGGCACCCTCATTGGCAACGCTGAAGTCGACTGGGAGACAAACGCTACGCTCCGAAACGCGCTGTTTGGCCGCGCAGAGAAGCTCTCGCTGAACTACGCCGTCGGCATGCGCAATAAGGCTGCTTACATGCTGGACTACATTCAGCCCATCAGCGGCGACCCCGATCGCTTCATTCACAGCTCGTCAGCCCATCAGCGGCGACCCCGATCGCTTCATTCACAGCTCGGCCTACCAGGTAGAGCACAACAACACAACCAACCAACCAACCGACATATAGGTGCTCCAAGGCAATCTGACACCAACCGACATATAGGTGCTCCAAGGCAATCTGACACCAAGCTCGTACGACGAAATGCAACGAGGCTGGAATTTCGCCGCTTGTGGATTGCCTTTTTTTTTTTGTCTTTTGTTGTTGTTGTTGTTGTTGTTGTTGTTGTTGTTGTTGTTGTTCTTGTTGTTGTTGTTTTCGTTTCGCTTCGTTGTCTCGCCACTCATAGATTGAACACCCTATCTTGCTCAGTTATGGTGTACATCGCTTGCAATACGAGGCTGTTGAACATTCCGTTCCGCGCTTCGATGCTCGTCCGTGAACAGGCCGGTCATTCCCTGTTGGTATGAGTGGTATGAGTGCTTTTTTTGCCTCCGAGAACAACGCAATCCCTGATTCATTTCAACCCCGAACTCACTCAACCTCTCAACACTTTTTTTTTTTTTTTTTTGCAGTCGTCGATCAAGCATGTGCTGACGCACGACACGCGCAACGATACTCATTTAGCGACTCAGGGCAAGCTCGTCGAGTGGACACAGGTGAGTAGAGACGATGGTTGCGAATTGCTTCGCGAATTGCGCTCTGCTCAACTTTTTGGAGAATGTTGACGCGGGCTAGGAATTTGCTGGCATTGGAGGCGACGCCAAGTTTATCAAGTCACATGTACAAGCACAGTTCAACCAAGCGTTTTTTAATGAAAACTTGGTAAGGCTTGCAAACAAGTCGCACCCAAATCACAAGCGAGAAAACGTCATCCACTAATCCTCCTCCGTCGTCGCAGATTGTTTCCGCGTCGTTGTGGGGAGGCCTACTGTCAATGCTGGGTGGCACAGAGTCCCGCATTTCCGATCGCTTCTTCCTTGGAGGACCCAATTCGCTTCGAGGCTTCACTGTTCGCGGAGCTGGGCCCCACGACAAAGGTGATTGCCTAATTTCATTCTAGGCGTTGCATCCTGCCTTTGCCAACCCACAACCCTACTGACATTGCTCTTTTGTGTGTCCTGTTTTGGCGCATCTTGTTCATTCCAGGCGCGTATCTCGGCGGCGATGCCTATGTTGCTGGCGCGGCACACGTTTATAGCACAATGCCCTTCAAATTTTTGCGTGACACGTTTGGTCGCTCTCTATTGCTGCATGGCTTTGCAAGCGCTGGCAACATTACTCAGATTGCTCCTGGTATGCCGCAGGACTGACGCAAGTTTGTGCGATGTCTCATCTTTTACAATGTCGCAAGTGCTGACACTTTTCCTATCATCTGCACACACACACACACACACACACACACACACACACACACACACACACACACACACACACACACACACACACACACACACACACACACACACACACACACACACACACACACACACACACACACTCAACAGACCAGTTTGTTGTCCCTCGGCTCTTGTCGCTCTTCCAACCTGGCTCCATGCGATACTCTGTCGGGGCAGGCGTCGTCTTCCGATCAGGAATGGCTCGATTGGAACTCAATTATTGCGTGCCCTTCTCTGCCGCAGGGACGGACAACTTCCGAGCAGGCTTCCAAGTCGGTCTTGGAGTCTCCTTTCTTTGATTGAATTTATCTGTTTTTCATGGCTCTGGGTTTTGGGTTTTGCATTGTTGCCTCACGAAAAAAGCAAAATGCAGAGACCTGCAAACGACCCAATCTCTAGGTTTCACAAAGTGCAATTGTTACAAACTGCTGGGTGGTCTTAATGCGATTAGTAGTCCCGCAATAGTGAAAGAATCGAGCGTTTTCAGAAGAGTCGTTTCGATATCAAGGGGTTTTACATGAAAAAACAAAGGCAACGCGGTTCAATAAAATAACTAAATAACAAATCTCTTGGCTCTACCAAGACAGAGAACTGATGCGGAACACGAGTAGCAAGCTAACGAAAGCAGGAGTTTGAGACCTGAACGTTTCAAATGGCACTGCAATGCCCGGATGAAGCGGCGCTTGGTTTCGTGTTGCGATCCTTCTGAGCTGCTGCAATGGTGCGGGCCACAAATCGCACAAGCCCCGCGCCCAGGATCAACGAACACACCAGGAGCAGCCCGTATGCAGCCAAACGAATGCCGGAGGATTGCTGGGCTCTCAAGTCCGACATGTAATCGACGTCCAGATCCAAGGTCGATGGGAAGCGAGACGCGCTGCATGCACTCATGGCTGAATCGTAGAAGGCAGCTAACGAGGGAACCCGAAAGTCCGTGCGATGGCAAAAGTGCACGCTGTCGGAAGTGCAAACCGCGTAAAACCAAGTCGCCAACTCTGCAACATTGGGAGTCAAGTTGTTGGCGCCTTTTAGCACGCTATGGGTGGTAGCTGCACCGTCCGGTAGCTCAGGATGGAGCAGTTTGAATGACTCTTGCGACAGGCTCGCAAATAACGGAAAGGTAATCTCCGCAAAAAGCCTGGCCAAGTGGGCGTACGATGAGAACCAGACTGTGGGGAGAGGCAGAAGACAATGAGTTTTGTGTGAATAGGATATGAATGTTGCTCGAACAACATCCAAGCGGGAGGCGACAGCGTCGGCCGCACGGAGAACAAACTACTTTCAAACAACCCTTACCAAAGTTGCGAACGTGCTCCGAGGGAATGTATGCCACATCCGAAAAACCGCCAAACCGGAAGTTGGCCAACCCGCCTTTGTTCGTCCACACGTCGATGAGCTGACATGTTTCGGATCGGTGGGCGCGCGAACTGCAATCGCCCGAAGCTCGTTCGTACATCTTGTTGAGAGCCTTCATGCCCCATGGCCGACCCCAGTGGACCCAGTCTGAGTTGTTGTGGTGTTGATATAACTGGCTTGTCCAAATGGTGTCCAATGGCATGTCGCGTAATTGCCAGAACTTGAGGAAGACGTCGAAATGGACGAAAAGGTAGCCACGATATCCCGGATGGCGCAGCATGATGCTTGAGAGACAGTAGTATGTATATCTTCCCGCGTAGCCATCGGGGCACACGAACTGGTTGGATTGGGGGTCGCTGGAGGCCTCCGGAATGGATAGGACGACATCTCGGAACGCACCTCGAAAGTACTTGTCATGGTCGTAGTGCTGCGGCAAAGCTTGGTTGAAGTGCAGTACGAGCAGCACGTTGTTGCGAGCAAAGTAGTCATCACACGCGAACGGGGACGACGACCAGGTCGAAGCGGAGGTTACGTCCGTTGTGATGTTGGGAGCGTTGAAACTTTGAACCACACCGTTCTTGTTATGCAGCACGCGGGCCTCAATTGGCGACTGCTTCGCATCGAGTCCAGATTTTTCAGAACCGATTCTTGGGTCGCCATGACTCAAGGCATGTCGCCCAAGGCGAGCGCGGATATATGGGTGGTGGCTGGTTTCTTCTCCGCCGTATGGCAGTAGGGCGAGCAAACTCAGCAGAATGCATGCAAGACAGACCGACAATAGTATCGATCGACGTTGGAACAGCAATTCAAGTCTCGGCATGAGGGTGGAAGGATGTTGTGGCACGTAGGAAAATAAAGACTGACCGCTGCAACAAGAACGACAACATGACAAATTCTTTCTGCAACAAAAACTTCGACGCCACCCGGCAGGCAGCGTTTCGCCCGGAGTCACTGCATGAAAACCACTCCATCAGCCTCGCCATCATCGCCCCAGATAGTTGCCTCGCTTGTTGAATTGGCTCCGGCGGACGGGATTCGACCAAGGTCGAGGAACCAGGTTTCTGTTTGGAGGCAATCAGAAATAGCAAGGAGGTGTGGTTTTACTATTCTGGCTGATTCCTAGAAGGTTCTCTCGTAGCCAAGCCGCTCGCCCAAGGCCAGAGACACCTGAGTATCCGAGGACCGCGCAGGGTGTGATGTGAGCGTCGCTGGACATGGCCAGAGGAGTTTGTGGGCTGCATG